AATAAAAAAAAGGCATAAAAATAAAATCAAAAATACTATTTTCCATGTCATTTATAATAGAAAACATGAAAAAGTGTTTCCAAAAAAAAAAAATTAAACCAAAACAAAAGACAATAAAATAAAACCAAAATTAGCATTTTCCATGTCATTTAAAATAAAAAACATGAAAAAGCGTTTTCCCAAAAAAATAACAAATCAAAATAAAAAAGTCAATAAAATAAAATCAAAGTTAGCATTTTCCAAGTCATTTTAAAAAAACAAAAAAAAAACCAAAATTATCATTTTTCAGGTCATTTGAAAAAAAATAATAATAATAAAGCCTTTTCCAACAAAAAAAAAACAAATAAAAAACAACAACAACAACAACAAAAAACACATTAAAATAAATCTGAAATAAGCATTGTCAAGGTCATTTAAAATTAAAAAACATGAAAAAACCTTTTCGAAAAGAAAAAATTAAACAAAAAAAAAGTCAATAAAATGAAACCAAAATTAACAGTTTCCACGTCATTTCAAAAAAAAAAATGAAAAAGCCTTTTCCAAAATAAAAAAAAAACAAATTTTTCAAAAAAAAAAAAAAATGAAAAAGCCTTTTCCAAAATAAAATAAAAAAAAAATTAACAACAACATAACACCCAAATTTACATTTTCCACGTCATGTTAAAAAAAAACAAAACATAAAAAAGCTTTTTCCAAACCCCCCAAAAAAAAAGCAAATTGAAAACAATAAAAAAAAATGACAAAAACGTAAATGAAAAAAAAAAATCACAAAAATACGCCTCATCCAACCAAAAAATAAAATAAAATTAAAAACAGAAATTAGCAGTTACCACGTAATTTTAAAATAAATAAAACACATGAAAAATCATTTTTGAAAAATAAAAACAAATTAATGTATACAAATAAAAATAAAAATGAAAAAAACGTAAATTAAAAAAATACGTCTCATCTAAAAAAATTAAAAATAAAACACCAAAAATCAATTAGCATTTACCACGTAATTTACAAATAAATAAAACATATGGAAACTCATTTCTAAAATATAAAAACAAATTGATGTATACCAATAAAAATAAATAGGACAAAAATGTAAATTAAAGAAAAAGAACACATTAATGTATACAAAAACAGAAATGACAAAAACATAAATTTTTAAAAAAAAACCATAAAAAAAGACGACAAATCCAAACGGAAAAAGAAAAAAAAAAGAAAAAGAAAATTAATTCCGATCCAATATGATGCTGACGTGGAGGATGTTTGTGAATGAGTTGACATGTATGAAGTTACTTAAAGGGTAGTTTGGTCTTTTAACATGGAGAGGCCTCACCAAAGAGTGCTGCTATTAGCACCTGCCAAAATTCTTTGGACTCCCTATTTTATAATTTTTTTTACTACAATTATACCCTAAAGTAAAATTACATTAAAAGACATTATTAAATGGAACACCCACCTATCAATAAGAACAAATATTCTATAATATTAGACACCCACCCCCATCCCCACATCCAACTCCAACTATACGTATTCTATGTTTGTAAATCCTAAACCTATTACTTTTCATAACCAACTAACATAAACCCTAAATCTATTATTTTTCATAATCATCTTAAATCTTGAATGTGTCATCTTCATTACCATCATCAACACTATTGAACTTGAAAGTTTTGCTTCAAGTATAACGTACACTTCATCATCTTATAAGTTTATTTGTCTTGCATTAACATTCTCGGTTGTTTTCGGTCGTTCTTGTTTCATTTGAGCTGTTCGGTACTGGTTTGCTGACCGTTAGAATTATGTTTGGTAATACAGTACTGAATATAATCATTTCGTTCAATACATAGGTTATGAACATTAATGCAGATAGTCAGTTATGTAATTTTCTTTGTTAAACTAACTTGAATGGAAAAGATTGAATTGGAATGGATTCAAGTTATGTATTTTGAATGGATTTAATTCATATTATTTTAAGTTGTGAATTGGAATGGATTCAAGTTACACAGTGATGAAAAATTTTGTTCGGACATACAGTGCTGACAGGATCATTATTGTTCGACAAAACAGTTCTGAACAAAACACATTTTTTCGGCTACACAACGGTGAACAAATTGTTTTGGGTTACATTTAGAATTCTGATGGCGATTCAGACGATGATTATGTTTTTCTTCATCTTGCAAACGGTTATACAAATCCTGTAGAAATTGGAGTATCTTCGATCGATTTCAGCGATAACGAAGATACAAAAAACAACGAAGAATATGATGATGAGAGGATGAGAGGATGTGAGATGTTACTGATTCGGCGATACAGAGAGCGTTCAGAGAAGATGAGAGTCGTCAGAATGCTCCGTTGACGGCCGAGATAGCGACGGGAGTGATGGTGTGGGGTCCAAGAATTTTATACTAGACCAAAGCTCCAAACTCTGAAGATTGAGTGAGTCAAGGAAGGAGAGGGATGAAAAATTAGGTGGGTGTGCAATTCGTTGTGAAAATATTATGAATATGGGTAGATTTGGTAATAAGTGGGGCGTCCAAAAAAATATTATTAAAATTTAGGGTATAGGGTTGCGGTCCAAAGAAATGGAGAATCCAAAGAATTTTAGTAGGTACTAATAGCAGCACCCCTCACCAAAAAGTTAAAAAGTCAAAAAGTCATTCCCAAACTAAATTTTTTAGCTCCGGACTAAAATAACTAAAAAAAATTAAAAAGTCAAAAAGTCAATCCACTTTCCAAACGGAAGCTTAAAATCTTCAATCTCCCTTAATCATCGTGATCACTTTTCTGTTTTGTGATCTATCGTATGGTGTGTAATTGAGATGGAAGAAGAGGGTTAGGGGTGGAAGATCGGGGGATAGGTTGGGAATGACGGGGTAGGTAGAAGTAAGGCTAGTGGAAGATGGGTGGTCAGCAGTTGTGGAGGAAAAATGAAGAGAGAAGAAAAATATAGAGGATGGAGAAGAAAGAGGTTGAGTGATAAAAGTTATAAAAAAATTTAAAAAATTAAGGCTCTGTTTGGTTGTAAACTGAAATCAATTTTCAACACGTGGGCTCGCGTATGACGTTTGGATACTATGTTCAAAAATTGATTCCGCGTGCAAAGTCCATTTATCTATAATTTTCCCATATGTTATTTATTTATTTATTTTTCAATCAAAAACAAATTTTAAGAAAATATCTTCCTTGATTTTTCGAATCAAGTGTCAACGACGCTACACGCGTTGAGTAAATTTTTTGTCTCGTCCACTTTAAGTAAAAAAAATTAGATGGTAATCTTATCCCGTAATAACGGGCGTGGAGTATTGCTCCATGTTCAATGAACACCAAATAATCAGTATTGCAGAGGTTGCTCTGTGTGTGTGTGTGTGTGTGTGTGTGTGTGTGTGTGTGTGTGTGTGTGTGTGTGTGTTGTTTTGTGTTTTTTTTTTTTTTTTTTTAATTTTTTTATTGTGTTGATTTGAAATATTTATTTATTTTTAAAATATTAGATAGAATAGATAAAATATATCTATAAAAATTGAAGTGAATCAGATATTGATATTTTTTTTCATCAAGACATTTATATCTAAAAAATTGAACGATAAATTTAATTCTAAATATAAATCTAAATAAAAATATGATTTGATAAAAGTGATACTGATATTCAATCAATTTAAATTTTTATAGACATATTTTATTTTATATTTTTAAAAAGTAAATAGTTATTTTTACAGACATATTTTATTCTCTATTTTTTTAAAAAAATAAATAATTCAAAACACTGAAATAAGACTTCAAAAAAGAAAAAATACTATAAATTCTAAATAATATACTCTCTCTATCCCAAAATAATGATCCCCTTTTGGGGAATCCAACTTTTTTTTGGTAGTACAATTATTACATTTGAAAAAAAGTTGATTTTTCAAAATTACCGTTTTGATAGTATATTTTTTGATAATATCAATATCATAATTGTACTTTTTGTATTGTTTATTAATTTAAAAAAAGGGTAAAATAATAAATTTATATTATTTTTGTACTTGATTTTTGAAGAGAGACTAATATTTTGGGATAATAAAAAATAAAATAAGGGACTACTATTTTAAGACGGAGTGAGTACTAAATTTTTTACTAACCTTCTCACACAAATCCATATATACGAACACCACATTCATGTAAAAAATTTAAGAAATTATTTAAACTCCATAACTTAACTATTAAAAAAACTTACGCAACACACGGAGCGTTTCAATCTCCAAAGAGTGGTGTTACATGCATTAATTAAAGAAAAATGCTATCAATCCCAAATGATTTATCAAATTTTCTATCAAACCTCTCACATGAATGGGACCCGCACACATGTGGCATTGTGTGGATCCCACATCCATGTGAGAAGTTTAGTAAATCATTTGGAATATCTAGCATAACTCTAAATATATTAACTAACGTATCAACACTAATTAGACTATTATTATTAAGGAAAATGCCTGGTAGCTCGAAGCTACCAGGCTTGAAAATGGCTCGAGAGGAAGAGAGGGAGAGGGAGAGGGAGAGGGAGAGAAAGAGAAGGGAGGGAGAGGAAGAAGGTCGGCGTCGCAGCTCTCCGCCCCGCCGTCGTCGTAGCTCCCGCCGCCGCCTCTGCTTTCTCCTCCGTCGCAGCCCCGCCGATGTCTGCCCAGCCTCCCCTCCTCCTCAAACCGGTTTTTATGGCCCCCTCCCCTCCCTCCTCCTCCTTCTCCCTTCTCTTCTTCTCCCTTCTTCTTTTTCTTCTTCTTCTTCTTCTTCGTTCTGCAAAACCAGGAAAAAAAAAAAAAAAAAAAAAAAAAAAGTTTTGGTGTCGAGCCGTGACATTCAAGCTACGTAGCATGATCGTATTATTAACCTCACTCATTATATAGATTATAAATATAAAAAAATATTTTAATTATGCCACATTATCAATTAATATATTAATTAATACGCTAATTAATACATATACCATTAATAATCCCAAAACTCTCTCTCTAATATAAAGAAAATTCGCGGCAACAATTGATTCCCCATAGAGCTTCGAAATATCAGCATTTGAATTGAGAGAGAGAGAGAGAGAGAGAAAATGGGAGCAGTGAATATCTGGAACGCCATGGAAGTTGCGGAGGGAGCTCGAGAGAACGGAAGCTCAGGAATCCAATCATCTTCTCTCACCGTTGATCACTCTCTCTCTCTTCCCGAAATGTCACCTCGCATCATGTTTGTTTCACCTCTCTCTCTCTCTCTCTCTATATATATATATATATGTCTAGATCTATATCTATATCTATATGTTTTCATTTGGAAATGCTGAACTTAGTTTGTGAATTGAGTATGCGTAGCTTAGGGTTCTGTTCTGTTTTATTCCATTGTTTTTGTTTCGATATTCTTATTCTGCAAACAGTGTTTGGCTGCGGAGAATCTGAGGAAAAGGAAAATTGATTTGAGGTCTTGCATCATGTTGCTTAGTTCTAACTAAAACGAGAACATTATCATCGAGAAAATTGAACTTGTTATAAACAAATGATTATAAATGACTTGGTTGATCTCTATCTGTTCTTGTTATTGAATTCTCTCGGAGACCAAGTCTTATGGAAAAATTTTTGGTATATTACTTATTACTTACCTACCAAAAAAAAAAGTCTTGTGGAAAATACATATTTTTCGATTTAAAATTTATTTTCTTAGCTGCCAAACGATATACACGAGGTCCTATTTGACGTCATATTGTGTTTTGTTTGTTTATTGTTCGTTCTACAAAGTCGGTGGCCCCCACCCCCTTCTTTGGCCTAATGTTTTTTGGTCGAATTCTTGTACACAGAGAGCTGTGCAAAGATCTCTTCGAGAAATGGTCGAAATTGGACAATTCTCACTTCTCTGTCGAGACTGTTTCCGGTGGCATCACAAATCTATGTGCGTATTTCTGTTGTGTATATAAGTTTTGTCATTCATTTGGTTAGTCTGCGTTCAAATTTTTTCTTCTTTACATTAGGGCATCTCCAATCCTTACCCTTGACCCATATCAAATTTAAATGTGAGTAAAAATCCTCAAAATCTTTCGCCAATCCTTTTCTCAAACTCATACCAAAAGGAGTTTTACCCAAATCAAGGGAACCTTTTTTTTGTTTTTTATATACACTCAAATTTTTACAGGCCATTTGTAGTGACATAGTAGCTTCTAAATTTACAATTGTGCCACTTACCAAACTTTTACTCAAATTTGAGTTTGGCTATTGGAGTACTTTGTATCAAATGAAGCTTTTACACAATTTTATTTTTTATTTTTTTTCAAATCTGAGTAACATTATGAGTAAGGGTTGAAGATGGCCTTATATAGAATAATAATGTCTTAAATTTTCTATGATAGAAAAATATAAAAAAACCTAACCTGTTAGATATAGCAACTTTCTTGCTGTTCTTAGCTAACCATTTGTATTGAAGTATAGTGTAAGGAAAAATTTATAATTCGTCCTTGCAGTATTGAAGGTATCAGTAAGGGAAGAAGATGGAAACCTAATAAACATAACAGTTAGATTGTATGGCCCCAATACCGAATATGTTATCGACCGGGAACGGGAATTGCAGGTGAGTTTCTAAGGATTCTTGTTTTTAGAATGCGGCTATGTACGGGTTATCCCTTTAATCACCTGCACTAATCATTCTCTTTGGGCTAACTTTGCTGAGCTGTGTTGCTTTACTATATCTTATTTTCTGTAATTGATGTTATTGTAAAAGATAGCTGCTTAATTCTAAGGCTAAGAGCACTTCGAAATTCCTAAGGTTACTTGCTTAATCCTACTTTGTTTGATTTTGGAACTGATTTAATATTTTACACCATTGATTTACTTTGATAAAGCCATATAGTTGTTTATTCTATTCCTAGATGTATGGGTTATTTTTTCCTGATTCTTCTCATTTCATGTAAATAAACATGGTTTGCACAAATAGTCACAATAATATGATGTTATTGTAAAAGATATATGGCACTTTAATGGTCAATGCACTTCAGGTAATAATTTTGTAGGCTTTAGTCAAGAAGAGTTCTCCTCACTGTTGCATTCAGCCTATAAAATTCTGTGATTGCTTGGAGAACAATGATTTGTTTGAAACTTGGATATGAATTTACTACTCTCTGGGTTATTGCTTGTTTGCCAAGTTAAAGTTGAAACTTTCTTAGTGACATTGTTAATAGATGGCATCTTACTATTTTACCCAACATTCCACCCCAAACTCCATTGACTCACTCTTCCCCAAAGTAGGATAGGCTACTTAAGCTGTCAATTGTTTGCTCCTCTTTGTAATTATTTACCTCATATTGTATTTAGGCCATTGGATACCTGTCAGCTGCAGGATTTGGTGCCAAATTGCTTGGAGTTTTTGGAAATGGCATGGTGCAATCATTTATATATGCACGCACACTAACTCCACCTGGTAAGTCTTTATAAAGATCATTTTGACTGAGATGCGTGTGGGATTTATCACATAGTAAATTGGATATTATTTATGTAGAACTATATACAACCTTTGAAGATCTCAAGTAGAATTGGAAAAAACTTGGCCAAAAAATGAAAGAAATCACCATCATTTATTTTTCAATTTATTTATTTATTTATTTTGTGTATGTGTGGATAAGTGATGGCATATAGAAATCAATGATACCTAGATGAGTGAGAACTCCATTAACTAATAACAAACAAGGCATTATGCATTTGGTGCTTTGGGGCCTTTTAATTTCTTAAAATGTGAATCCATGTTTCTTGCTTCAGAAAGTGCATTTTTTATGTTTGATGCAGATGCAAGTGTTGAAATTGTATGAATATGTTTGTCTTGATTTAATAGGTCCATAATTTGATGGGGTTTATTGCTAGTACTTTGGGTTTATCTCTTCCGTTGGTGCACAATTTAAGAATCCCTATTCCTAGACCCTTAACTTGAAAAGTTTTGTGGCCAGCCCAAGCACAAGATATAAAGGTTTCCTTGTGCTGCTAGATTTGGTCTGCTTTTTTGTATGTGAAGAATTTATATTGAAACATATGCGCAGATCAACCATTCATGAATTCTTAGTAAATTAATAACTTAATTTCCGCTGAAAAATGTGCTCTTTGTGATTGGATCCTACCGAAGTTACACTGTAAAAACTTTATGGTTCAAGTTTGGGCTTGTCCAAATATAACACACAAATGATTCTTAAAGTTCTAGAGAGCAGGAGCACCTTTTGGAGCCTCCATGATTCTTAAAGTTCTAGCTTTTTAGCTAACTCCCAAAGGAAGTTAGTTGAAAGTTGAAGTCAACAACGGTAGATTTGAAGTTTCCTATATATTGTTGTAATTTTTACTGCGTAATTTCCAGCTCTTAAAGATGAAACACTGTTTAAGTAGCAAGTAAGTTTGTAGTGCACATGAATCAATCTAATCTTTTCTAGCCATGCTGAAATATAAATAAGCTTTAAAAGAAGAGTTCACACATAAACTGAAGGATTGGTCTTTCCAGTTAGGTCAAACAATGTTTTTTCGGTCATGATGAGTAGTGGCATTTGAACTTAGTCCTTGTTTAATAAAGAGCATCGGTCCAATCCTGTAAGAGTGGGTGAAAATTTCCTTTTTTTATTTTTTATTCTTTTATTTTTTCCTTTTATGTCTGACGAGTTTACTGGTTGTCACCACATATTCCTTCAACTTGCCCTTTTATGGTTATAGACAAGACAGACCCTCGAATCCAAAATAAAACACCAAGTTGATATGCTACAACAAATTGTTCTCTTGATCTCTCCTTCGTCTAAAACTTCTTGGGTCATTGACAAATGACAAATGTCCTTGGAGGTGTTGCCTTTTATTGCAACTGGGGGTTGAATTGGAAACTCAACAAATCTTTCTATTGAAATGACATGAATTCCAAAGATTTTTGATGACCAACAAGCTTGGGTTGACAGATCTTGCTTTATTGACAGACATGAGAAAGCCAAAGCTGGCCGCTGAAATTGCAAAGCAGCTTCGTAGATTCCATCAGGTGGAAATTCCAGGCTTCAGAGAACCTCAACTATGGAATGAAGTTTTTAAGTTCTTTAAGAAAGGTCCTTTACTGATTAATGATTATCTTCCTCTACTTAGTGATGGGTATTCATAGTATTATTTCTTATTTGATTAAAAATTGTCTCTAAATTTGGCAGTTGGAGAATATCTTTTTATTCAACATGTTGTGTTTCTCATGTTCGAGTATCCTTTTATTTAAAACACTCTAATCCTATTCTTGCAGCATCCACTCTAAAATTTGATGATAGCGAGAAGCAGAGGAAGTATGAGACAATTTCATTTGAAGAAGTTGAAGCTGAGGTTGTTAAGCTCAAGGTATTCACTCTTCTCATGACTTGCTTGTAATTGGCGTAATACTATCTGTTGTCTTTCTTTTCTAATTTAGGGATGGGAATATGAATCTCTCTCCTGATATGCTGTTTCAGGATTTTAGCTACGGTTCATTGTGTGAAATATTTTTTTATGTTCCTTTCTGTCACATTATAGAAATTTGACTTTGCCTTTTTGAGGCATCTGTTTAACTTGGTGGGAGGATTTTGTTTACTCGTCTTTAGATATGTTATGTGTGGTTTAGTGATAGAAGGTCCAAGGTGCAGGAAACTAGACCAACAGAAGATAAGATAAACAAAATTAAATATTGCTTAGAAGTAGATGCGCATTCACTCAAATGATGTATCGATAGATATTGAGCTTAAGAAGTTGCCAATTGGTGATTTAAGTAATTGGAGCAAAACACACCATATGTGCCAAACCTTGAATTAGATTACTTGGCTTCATTTCCCCCTTTTTTTCTTTTCCTTAGGCTGATACATTTTTTTGGCTCTAAAATATTTTGTAGTTGACATTTTTATTGTGAAGGGTCATTTCAGTCAACGTTTTAGTTTCTCCTGAAAACTTGCATCTTGAAACAACATAGAAAAGAGTTCTCAAATCACTCTGGTGTTAGGATGAAGACAATTTTCCTTTCTTTCTTGGCTAGCTTCAGAATTTCTTTTTTGGTTTGCAATAATCATATGCTGATTTTATGTTGAGTGCTCTTGAGTGTTGAGGAGCTATAGATTGATTTGTGGAGAAATATCTTGTGCTTATGAACAGGAATTGACAAGCCGTCTTGCTGCTCCTGTGGTATTTGCGCATAATGACTTACTTTCTGGAAATCTGATGCTCAATGATGAAGAGGGTATCTACAACCATATCTTACGTCTGTATTTTTTCCCTCTCTTTGTGTTCCATTTTAACAATTTCTGTTTCTCTTTTCTCTCTTTATCTTTAAAAAACATAAGAACTAACCCCAAGTTCTCCATGATATGAAAATACTCCCCGTCCTTTTTTTGTGTGACATATTGACCATCCATATATTTCAAGGAAAGTTCTGTTGCATAAGAGGTTTACAAAAGTGCCATTTGACCCTTTTGAATAATTTTTTTGGGATCAGAATTCTTTTTTGCCAGAAATGGTGTGTAGAAAGGCCAAAGTTTTGTTATTCACCATCAATTGGCCAAAGTTTTGTTGTTCACCATCGATTCCTTATAGTTAGCTATGATCATTTGTCTCCCTTTTTAGTGATCCTTACCTTTGTTGGTTGACATCCAGAGAAACTCTACTTCATTGATTTTGAATACGGATCGTACAATTATAGAGGTTTTGACATTGGAAATCACTTCAATGAATATGCGGGCTATGATTGTGACTACAGCTTGTATGGCATCTTCCTTGCTCTTTTCTCATTTTCTTTTATGACGGTGATATACATAGATGAGGTATTGATTCTTGAACTTGGTGTTTATGTAGATATCCGAGTAAAGTTGAGCAGTTTCATTTCTTCAGGCACTATCTAGAACCTGAAAAACCACTCGAGGTACATTAAGTTTGCAAACTTGTTAAACTTACAGCAATTTTGCATTACTTGTGCATCTTTCATGAGGTTCTGAATTGGTAAAAGTAAATTTTTCCCAAAGTGCAAGAAGTTCTTTAAAATTGTGTTTGATGTGCATTTGAATAATTGAAAACTAAAATTGTTGCTTGTCAATAAACAACATATCTGGCAATAAAAAAGGACCCAAACTCATTTTTTATTTCTCGAAGTTTTTGTTGGGTTGCATTAGTTTGTTTAAAGTCAAGCTTTTAAGCAGGGTTGATTTAGGTAGCTTGAAAATTTAAATGAGATCTATGGCGTAAAATCACTTGACATGCGGAGGACATAGATCCCATTCAATAGCAGCTCGAGAATTTTTTAGATCCAAGGCTAAATATGAAAACGAGACCTTATCTTATTTTGTCTTTGAAAATCTAGGGTCTCCAACCATAATTTTTTTTTATTATAAAATATTCTTCGTGGCATTAGGCGACTGACTAAGTTGCTTAATGGTTGAGCCATCTCTGATCCCATTGGTGGGACCTCTGGATGGTTAGTGCTAAAATAATGTACACCTTGCATAATGATAATGCTGTTCTGTATTTAGGTTCTTTTGCCTGAAAATATCACACATGCAACACAGTCCTTTCCTTTGTTTCATCTAGTTTACTTAGATTTTTCCCTGTGGCTTTCATTGGCCTCGTATACGGTTGTGCATCAATAATCTTTGTTGAAAAGGTTGAAAATGAATCGAGAAAGAATAAACAATCAGTTAACGTTGATGCTTGGACCATATTGCTTCATTGAAAAGACTGCACATTATATGCTTATAATTTGAAAAGCCCTGCAATAATACAAGTAAGCTGTTCTTAACAACAGGTATCTGACAAAGATCTCCAAGCTCTCTATGTTGAGACAAACACTTACATGTTAGCTTCACACTTATATTGGGCTCTGTGGGCCCTAATCCAGGTACTTTTGTTCTGCAAGCTTTGCATTCATGTCTCCACAATGAACCCATATATCATCTAAGTCAGAATATTTGCTCACTGTTGGCAGGCGAAGATGTCTCCGATTGATTTTGATTATCTTGGTTACTTCTTCCTGCGATACAATGAATACAAAAAACAGAAGGAGAACTGCTTCTTGCTGGCACAATCTTACCTCGCAAGACCCGGGAGTGAGTGAGCTTTCTCATTCTATGCATTACCGGTATGCCTTTGTATTCTGTGAAATTAAATGAAGAGACGTGCGAGTCCTCCCTCGACTTGTACAATATTCTTTGGTAGCCAGTTAGGAGAAAGAAAGTGGATATATAGATTTGAAGAAATAAATAGTGAATCTAGTGTTTTGATATTGCATTTCAGATTTGTTGTAGCTCTGAAGCTTTGTATGTGGTTTAATAGCAATTTTTGATACTTTTGTTTCCTTTGTTTGGTGGAAACAAGTTTGGATAAATTAATAAAATGAAATTCTGTTGTAATTTTGAAACTTGCATTTGTTCAACAGTAAATTTTTTTTCCCTCATTGCTTAAAATCATGTCCTCCTTGCATAATTCTGAATATAATTCTTTTATAATATTTAAATTGTCCATCTAAATACATTAAATTGAAAAAAAAAAAAAGACAAGAAAAAAGGCAAGTGTTCTATCTTCTTTACTTTCTTTCTTGTTCATTCAAACAAAATGGCAAAAAACTACAATATTATTATTGTTATTATTATAATTTTTTACACCTAGGTGACAGATCATTATCTTTTCTTTTATTTTTTGCCTAATTAATCAAGGGGCCTGTAAATTCTATATTCATATTCCTTTTTCTTTTGGACAAAAGATAATAACTTCATTCATAGAAAAAAGAAAACTATCAGAGTTTCAAAGTACAAAAGATTCCAAACAAAGAAAAAAATATTGCTAATAGACAAATAAGAGCTCAACAAAGGACACGAGAATCAGATCCAACAATAGCAACAACTGCCAAAAAAAAAAACTAAAAACGAGAAAACAAATGAAACTGGATCTCTATCAACCAGCAATCTTCATAAAACTGCATCACCAGAAGACACCAAGAGCAATCATTGCAAAATGAGATCCATGAAGAGATAAAGAGTCGATTGTTGAAATTAAGCTTTATCAATCATGCAAACCCTGAGAAAAATTGCATCATTAGCTTATATGTCTATGTTTGCTTTGCTTAGTCAGTAGTCGTTTGACATCCAGTTAAAAAAATCACATTTTTTTGGACATTCTTTTGAAAAAACTTGTGTCAATTTTTGTTTTTACTTTTTAGTCCGCCTAGGATTGAAGAACTTAAAAAGTAAAAAAATAAGAAAATCCAAGAAAAAAGACAACTTTCTTTATTTGTCTTTATGTACTTTTTTTTCATTTTTTATCATATTGATTTTTTAACCCTAATAATAATTGAAGGCTCAAATCTTATTTGTTGCCGAAAAGTAAGGAAAAAAAAAAAAAAACAGGATCTTTTATCCTCATCTTTGTACCAAACCACCAGCTTCCACACAATGAGCTTCTCTGACTCTTGTTAGATAGAGAGATGATTTGAGACATGAAAAGAAAGAGAGAAAAGGAAGTTGATATTAATGGTTTTAAGTACTTGAAAGTATGCCTCTGATAAAAACTGATATATATATATATATATAGTCATTCAACTGTGACCTCATGACACCAATGGTGAAGACTGAAGCGGACTCCATATCATTTTCTCCACTCTCCCTAAACTAGGGCAAAACTTAAGTTTCTTCTTCATATGATATGATTTATCAACCAACTAACCTGATCATGCAGTTGCAAAACTGTACAACTCGACGAGAGAAGATTTCGTAAATCGGTCCAAATATGTTCTTCAATTGGTGGTTTGTCTGTCAGCTTGTCAAGTCTTCAACTGTCAATTTCTATGCATACCACTTTCCTTCGAATCATGAGAGCTATAAAGACAATCGAGGAGTTCTCTGATCCTAAGCCATAATTTACAATCCTCAAGCTTGAAGAACCTGACAGTGTACAATGTGGCTCTTGAGTCGGTTCCTCCCAGCAAGACTCGACAAGAAATTTGTCACCAACGTCTTCAACTGCCCTTTTCCACCGATCATTTCCCATTGATGTTCATCGGATTTTGAAACGTCTACCAGAGAAATACTCATATTGTTTCGGATAATGCAGAGCTTCCTGTTGAGTGGGACAAGCGCTGCCGCCTCCAACGCCTTGGAATTCCCCAAATGCATCTTACTATCGATGTGTTTGCTCCAAGCGTCCGTCTTTTCATCAAAAATTCTAATTTTGCAACCATCTTTACAGTCTAACGCGTAGAGCTTCCCGTTTAGGGAAGTACACGGGTTCCTCCACCCTGTCACCATTCCATCATAAACCGGGCACCAACTATCCGTTTCAGGTTCGTAGACCTCGCTCAGTACCTGTCTGTGGGACCCGAGCCCTTTCAAGAACCACTTGCCCTCGTAAACAACTCCAATAAATGGTACCATTGCTGTGCTCATATCCGAAATGAAGGCCCATCGATTCTTGTTTGGATCGTAAACTTCAGCAGATCTCAAGGACCGGTGCACCCCCTCATTCTCGCCACCAGCTACGTACAAACAGTTGTTCATGACACACGAGCCAAAGAAATGACGCCTCCGAAGCATATCCGGAGCACGATGCCATTTATTAGTACGTGCGCTATAGAAAATTACCCGTCTCATCGAACCCTTGATTGGGTCTTTGCCGCCGAATAAATAAAGGTGACAACTGCTTAAAACGGCACATCCAAACCCTAGGACCTCGGAATATTCTTTTGGGACAGGAGGGAGAGGCTGCCAAAGCTGGTATATGGGGTCGAAGGCATGCCATGAGATTTTTCCGTCTCGTTCTCTCTTCATGACATAGATCCATTCTTCTACTATTCCAAGGCTCTTTCGAAGTGAGTAGAAGAAGTTACCGGCCAAAAGGCGATTCCATCTTTTGCAGACTAAGCGGAGTTTATTGTGCTCAACTCGTGGCACTCGGATTAAGCAAGCTATGGCGAGATCATCGGGGAGTCCCGGGAGCAGAGGGGATTGATTCCTGTTTCTGTCGCCCCGTGCTGGCTTCTGCCTGGTAGGATGAATGGATGGCTTAATGTTGGGCTGAAGACATAGCTTTGTACCAGGAACATATTTCTTTGCTCCAGCAACAGTTTTGAAACCTACATCTACTCTACAGAAACATGCTGTTGTATCAACCTGCAAATATACAAGAAGCCATTGTTGTCAAATCATGAATCGTTTTGCTACATAATGAGTCGTGAATCGTAAAATCCATTTTATTTAGCATAATATATAATTTTGTATATGTATATACATGTAGTGTTTAAAATAAAATAAATATATAACTAAATTGTATATATGTAAATATAAAATCATGTATATCAATATGTTCAATTGATTTCTTTTTCTTTTTCCTTTTTTTTTTCGCTGTTTTGGGGGGGGGGGGGTGATAAAACCAGATTGTTTCACGTATTATACAAATAGAACTTAATCAAAAACAATAGTGAATCACAATTGAATGGTAAGATTCACTCAATTTAATATTCAACAACATAAATCAAATCATTTTGGTTAAAACTCGTATGAAATCTTAAATCATTTAAACCAGAATCTCGGAAAGAGGAAGGGTATCACAATCATCACATATCAGAAACTCAAACCTCAAAGGGACTTGCATTAATATATCATCATTTAACCCTTTTTTTAGGATAAGCAATGGCAAACCAATGTCATATTACATCACATGCAAACAAGAAAACCATAAGGAAACAGAGACAAAGTGATATCTCCAAGTTGACAAAATGGAGAAGAAGAATCTGGACCAAAACAAAGAAGACCCCCATTTGCCATGCTTTAGATGCACGTTCACCTTCAACAACTCTAGTATTTGATAAAGCCAAGTTTTAGAAGAGCATTTAGCAAAGGCACAAGAGATTTATGAGTGAGGAAGAAGATAGAAGAAAATGAAATCATGTCAAGGTGACTCATATTATAATCAAGATAGAGATCCTTGTCTGAGAATTCAAAAAAACCACGATTCTTATATTCTTTGTCATCATTTTACAAATGATATTGCAAAATCCACAACCTTGTATCCACAGACTCCTCTCCCACATGGGTGGGGGGCACCACCACGTGCAAGGGGCTGTAGATACAACCATAATAGCTGTGGATGCATCCATATCCTTTTACTAATCAATTTATATTATGTTCTTCTCCCATAACTTTATTTATTTACTTATTTTATTATTGTTAATTTTTTCAAGACCATTTTAAAGAATGAACTAGTGCCTCAAAGTAAATATGAAAATAAAATAGAACAATAGTTTGATTATACTTCAGAGTTGTAAGCAACTTATTAATCATAATCTGAGCATCAGTAAATGGAGAGGGAGTTAGGGATTCCAAGAAAAAAAGTTGATAGCCTCTATTATGAATCACATATACTTCTAAATGGGATCTGTATCCGTATTGGATACCGATACTCCTTTGCATACTGGCTGGTACATATCTAATACTTCCTAAACGTATCTGATACTGATGTTAATTTTGAGAAGTATCAAATATTTTTTGGACACTCTAGGTCACGTATTCAAATTATTATGAAATTGAAATTATAATAATTTTTACATATTAATATAGTATAATTTTGAATATAAGAGTAATTTTCAATATTTTTGTTTCTTATTGAAGAAGAAAATAGTGAAGACTAAAGTAGAAATCTACTTTTTTTTAATAAATATTTTATCAAATTAATGTATCCAATGAAAAAAAAGTAAACTAACTATTGGCTCTTAAACTAATATCTAATTCCGAATGGTTTCTCACTATTCTTTGAGCTCATGTATAATATAATATTGAAAATTATTTATTTTTCAACTTATTCTTGCCGTACTCATAGCCTAGTTTTTTTAGATTTTTTTCAAATCATCATATCCATATTTCATATCCACATTCAAGCTTCTTAGACTCTATTTGTATAGTTGAAAAATGGACAAAGAAAACATGATGGATATTCACAAGAAAAAGAACTTGGAAGCAAAATTGAGGAGGTCACCAAGAATCTTATAGTGTCATTTGTCTAAATGAAGTATAGACAATGAAAATCATATGAATGTTCTACCAGAGTATGATCTATGTTCATGTAGAATTGTTCTTAAACCAAAGATGCCAAGCTAAATTGATCCCAGGTTTATGCAGGATAGTGACTGAAACCGAACTTAATTCATTTAGTTTTGTTGGACAACATTGTAGCCAGGAAATCTCAGATTAGTTTATTCCAATAATAAGGTCATTCCCTATCCGAGGTCCAAAACATTGATAATTCAAAAACAGAATTACTTTAAGGCAGTCTCAATGGGCAGCTTATCCCACGTGCGGAGAGGCTGTTTCTGTGGTTTGAAACCATGACGTCCATGTCAAAAATAGAAGTACTTACAAAAAGAAAAAGAAAAACCACTCAAACATATGAAATAAACATTCCCAACATGCTAAAAGTATAACATAAAAACCTAGCATACATTACTTAAACAAATATGGGATTGAACAAAGCAACAAGGCAAAATGAAATTTACCAAAGGTGGCTGAATCATCCTGTCCATGTCTTAAAACATCCAACTTCAAAAACACCTCAAATGTCAAATACCTATCTCTCAATAATCATCCTACAAGAAAAAATCATATATGTAAGAAATGCACAAGTCATCACAAAACCAACTGTTATAATCACTTCACATTGAAAATTCACCTTGAATATTAAAAACCAAGCATACAAGCTGAAATTGAATCCTGCATTGAGTTTCTGGAAGAGTATAATATCACAATTCTCAGATTGGAAAACCAAAGAACCAATCGATTACCTGATACCCACAACCTCTTCAGATTTGAAAACCCACCTCGGGTAATCCAAATCCTATCTAAAAAATAACTTAAAACAATCCAAAACCCAACAATTCACCAAGAAAATGAGAAGTCCTAATTCAAGAATCAAAGGTTAAGCCTACTTCAGATGCAGAAAACTAGAAGACTATACAGTCAACAGAAGCTGATCAAAACAAAAACTCAACACTGCTCAATCTTCAAAACCCATGTCTAAAAATCAAAACCCAGAAAGCAAAAACCTCAAAAAATACCAATTTCATGAATTCAGAGAGAGAGAGAGACAGAGAGAGAGACACAGACATAGAACTCAATTCTTTATCCTCCCAAGAACCCTAGTACACAAATGTGAAACATCAAGAAAATGGGGAAAGAAAAAGCAATGAAGAGATAGACTCCCCCTTCTCTCACCATTGAAATCTTGGGTGGAAAATAGGGCCCATGACCCCAACGGCACAACCTACCAAGCCACAAGAAACTGTTTGAGAAGACAGCAGGCAGAGAGAGAGAGAGAGAGAGAGAGAGGTGGAAAAAGCAAACCTAAACCATTAATGGAAGAGAGAATGAGAAAGAGGTGAGGTATATGATGATGACATTTGGCCGGTGGACTTAACCGAAGAAATCAAAGAACAAGTCCACAAAACTGGTTTGGAAGTTAGCTCTTTGTTGCAGTCCTGGTATAGAGAAAGATAACAATTTTTTTTTTTAATTTTTTTAATTTTTTTACAGGAAGAGATGCACCCCTTAATTAGGGTGGTTTGTGAGGTCCTAAATAAATATATTTTTTGTCTTTTTACAAAAAGATATATAGAAAAATAAAGGGTAATGTGATGAAAAAAAAAAAATAAAAAAATGAATTATTTTGTATACGACAAACTTGACCTTAGAACTATTTTGAAAATTTGCTAAAAGTCAAACTTTTAGTCTACTTTGATTAAATTATTATTTTTTATTTTTTTATATATATATATATTTAAAAAATCAACTTTGAACTTATTTTTTCAAACAAGCCTTAATAAAAAAAAGTGATTGGGAGTGCCTGCTGTGCCCCTGTGCTGCCCCATCGGTTTATTTCAGGATCCGTTTTAATAATTTAAACCGTTTATATTTTAAAACATATCTAATAGAATATAATTGTAAAAAAATCAAGTTAATCGAATATCGTTAATTCTTTTATCCATTCATATTTGTATATATAAATAAATAACATTGTGATTTAAAGTATTTAAATGAATATAAATGTGAGTGGATAAAAAGGTTAACGATATTCGATTAATTTCATTTTTTACAAGTATATTCTACTCGATATACTCTAAAATGTGATTAATTTAAATTATAAAAAGAAACTCAGAAATAAGCCCATAAAGCAGTACAACAATGTCTATTAAGCCCCCAAATCCTAATAAAAGCATAGTCAAAATAAATATTGTGGATCCAATTGCCACTTTTAATAAAGTTCAAGAGAAATGTTGGAAAAAGTATTAATAGGTGTACTTGTCAAATTTTTTTTTTATTACAGATTGATAAAAAAATAAAAATAATTATTAATATTTATAAAGTTTATAATTTATTTGTATTTTTTTAAACTCGCATTGAAATTTTTTTCAAAAATAAAATTTGAGATTCTTTAAATAAAGAGTTTAATAACACAGAAAACCTATGGTGGAATTTGACCGTTTAAATTTGTTCATACATTTTATTTAAGTGTGTAAGTAAAATGTATTTTTTTAATTGATGGAGAGTGATAGTCCATCTGATCAATAAACCTTTTGGTAGAAATGACTCACATTTTTCGTCAATTAAAAAATATATTTTGCTTAAACACATTAAAGTGTGGGAAAAACGTCACTCGAGGTGCATATCATATGCATCCTCTTATAAATTGATAAAATTTTATCATAAATTTTATAATATTAATTATAAAATATATAAACTTTTCACAAATTGGTATAATAAAAAATATTGTAATCAAATCACAAACTTATTAGTATCAATCACAAAATTTTAGATATTTTGCTAAGTGAATTTGTGACGGAATTATGTAATTTGTGATTGATGTTACGAAATTTTATAATAAAATTACGCTAATTTGTAGTAGAGTGCATATGATATACTTTTCCTAGAATGTGTGAGCAATTTAATTTTCAAAATTGGATAAAATTTTCTAATATGAGTGAGTCTTGTAAGGCTTTCCCTAATTGAATTCATAACATGATAGATTTCGTGTCAATTTTTTATTTATTACATACTTAAATGCATTGAAAGTTCAATAAATTCGTCACTTTAATTTATAATTACAAAAAAATCAATATCATTGATTTCAATAATAAATTAAATTATAACTTTTTAAATGTTTTAATTTACCCTTGAACATTTAGAATAGTATCAATTCTAAACTTTCATTTGTATCCATTGGTCACTCATCATCCACCCACTGCCATATCTTCCTCATCCACTTACTCTCATTTCAACCTTTTTTATTCCTTTCCAATCTACAGCTACCATCACCATCCAATACCGCTGATAAAAAGTGATTAAATTGTCTAAATTATTCTAGTTCGATTAGTTATAACTAATGCATAGCTAGAATTAAATATTATTTTAAAATTTAAAATAAAATAAGAAAATTTGTACCAAGATCAAACACTTAGGTTTTTTGGAATTTTTTTAAATAAAAAAAAATGATTATGTGTCCTCTACAAATAAAAAGCACACCATCTATGATGCATGTTGTACCTACCAACAAATATATATATATATATATTTCATTTCTACCTCTCCAATATTCCACCAAATGTTTTGGAAGTAAGAAAATTTTCTAATGTATGACCCACCACATCATATATGACTTTAGGCCTACTCCACAAAGGTTATTTTGGTCATTGGAAAAATAGAGGCCTACCACATTGCTGATTTATTGATCGCATTTTGGGCCCAAAGATTAGATGATATTATATCTCCTATATGAGTGATATAAGATCAGTGTGATTAGAGTATGATAACACATCCATCACATCTATAATCTTTTTTACTTTATTGGTGGGGAAGTTATGATTAAAGGAATTTGAAATTTGGAATATTTTTGTGAAGTGATTTCCACTGTTCATCAGGGTTGACTTTGATGTATTTGACTACTTTCTAGTGTGTACAATTATATTTGGAAAAAAATAGGGGGAAAAAAAAAAGGAGTGTTACCACTAGTTCATTCTAATGATTTGAATTGTCAAATTTGTAAATTTTTTTTTGGTATGTGTATCATCAATACCAAAAAAAAATCATATTGATCCAATATTTGTAACTAAAAGATGTCGTTAGATTTGTCTTCAAAAAAAATTGATTACAAATTTGGAAAATCGATGTTTATTTTTTAAGATAAATTTGATGAAATTGTGTGTTTAATCATTATTGGGTCAATTTAATACTTTTTATATATCTACCTATAAGAACTTACAAAATAAATAATTTGGATCATAAAAGTGAGACTAGTGATGATGAGACCAATTTAACTATACTATTATGATAGTTTACATGTTATTTTAACACAACCAATTTTCATATTAATTTTTGACCATAAAATCTACTCCTCAAAAAGTTAATTCATGATTGTTGATTTGAAAAAAATGACTTCACTAAAATTCAAGTCAAAATTTAACTTTGACACTTTTCGCAATGTATTTGTGCTCTTAAAACAATACTTTACACTAATTTTTAATAAACACATTTCATATTGTCATATTAATGTAAAAGTGACAAATTTTACCGTTTGTACCAATAACTATTAATTTGAAACACTACATGAAATTACTCCAAGAATGCAAAATAACTTCTCTAAGTGGAAGAATGAATGAGACTAATCTTACCTCTTATCTATCCGATCAATATTATTACTCTTATTTCTATGAAAATACCATATCATCTTGTCAACTTAGTGCTTTGAGAGTGATGGATAATTAATCTATTGACTTAGCACTCCTCCCCATCTTTTTAATAAAGTATTTGCATCCTAATATACTAATTAGCTATCATTTTATCAATTTTATTTATTTATTTATTTTTCATTTTGGTGGGTTTATAACGAAAAATTATTAGGTGATCTTAGAGTATCACGTGACAATACTCCTATCAATTAATAAATGTCATGCTTCATGTTATTTCCTTATTGCTCAACACTTAATATTTAAGCATAAAACCTTAGACCCCCAGCCCCACGTGGGGGTGGGTGGTTGAAAAAACAAAAAAAAAACAAACTAACTGGCCAATAAAATGCCAATGGAGGTGCTGGAGGTCCCTAGCATAGTTATAATATTTAACCGTGAACTCTATTTTCTTCACCAATCACCACGCTTATGCGAGATCACCTGACCATGCCCATAACAACCAAAGAACATCTCATTTGTGTGGCTTGCTACTCATTAGATGTCCAACATCTTGGTGATGGGGAAATGACTCCTACCCTTACCCTTTGTTGACTGTAATTATTACCCTTTCAATGAGGGAACTCTACTCAATCTAAAGGGCTTGTTTGGATATAGCAGAATGTGTTTGCTTGTGATAACAGTAATCCACTTGGTTGGAATGATATCTATACTCACTCCTCCATCATAAAACCCTACTTAATATCTATTAATAGGTGCTTGGTTTTTCAAGTTCATTATCAATACATAAACACAACTCAACCGCAATGTGCCTTGCAGTCTAATAATATCCTGAACATCTTCCCACTAATGAAAGTTTTTTTTTTTTTTTTTTTTTTTTTTTTTTTTTAATTTTAAATTTCTTATTTTTAAAATAAATCAAAAACGAGAAAAATAAGGGAAAGAAAAGTTGCATAGAAATACTCGCACCTAAACATCAAGCCAAATAAATGAGTACCCTCATCTATCAGGCTAATCCTTTGATTTTCAACTAATGAAAATTCAAATATTTTTTTCTCAATGATCATTGTCTACACAACGTGGAAGAAGGGTAATTTGAAAACAAAATTTGATCCCGAATGTTTAGTAGTATTACATAGATAAACTTTATCAACACTTCGACAATTGTGTTAAAATACATAATATTATCATTTGTCTCAAAAAGAAAAAAAGCAATGGCAAAAATAAAATAAAAACCCATAAAAGAGGAGTGTTCTTAATGTTTCCTTAAAAAAAAAAAAAAAAGAAAGAAAAATAAAATGGAAAAATAAAAAAATGAAAATGAAAATGAAAATGAAAAACACTCCTTTATCAATATAGCCAATGGCATCTTCCAAAGACTTGAAGACTTAGAAAGGATTAAGGTCTCCATCATGGGACAAGATCTCCCTAAATTTCTTGTCTACTAAGTTATTAGAATATAATTAGAAGAAAAAAATTATGGGACAAAAATACAAAGAAATGACGCATTTAAATTACGTGAAATTACAATTTTGTTATGCATTTTCAAAATAGTTATAAATTTATAAAATAATTTAAGACTTTAATTATTAGTATTTGTAAATTTTATCATTAATTTAAAAAAAATTAATTATTTTTTTGAAAATATACATTGAAATGATATTTCCCTTTCAAATTACTAGTTTAAATTAGCAAAAGGTACTCCAAAGATTGAATTTGGGCAAGAAAGACTAGTATATGAGTTTTGAAATGCCATATTAAAGGTAATGATTTGGTAGTTTCGGAATATTATATAATATTATTTATTTAATATTTTAATTAATTATATAATAAAATTTGTACAAGTGGTGTTGTTCTCTTGGTGGGGCCCACTTCGGTCCTATCAGGACGATTCTAATTATTTATTTTAGAAGAAACTACTATATAAGATAGTTTTTGAAAAATTATTATATATTAATAAAAAAAAGTTTATAATATTAATTATAAGTAATTTTCACTGACACCACTGGGGTGTAATTCCCGCTTTATTTTATAAGGTTCACCGAGCAGATCATTGAAGTAAAAAAATTAAATTGATAGAATATATGAATTAGACGGCAAATGATTTATGAAATATATTATCAATTAGTTTTCGGAACCAATAGAATCTAATTATATATTATTATTGATGTCGAACTAATCTAATTTTTTATACAGATGACTTGCTCAACTAACTTACAAAATAAAGAAATTGGATCATAATAAGGTTAGGTTTAGCCCACCGAGGAAGACAACACCTCCCACTCTTCATTGTTTTTAATTTTAAAATCACAAAAATCAAAAATTCAACCAAAAGTAAATTGTATATTAGTCTCATATCCTTTTCATGCATGAAACCAATTGAAGAAAGTTAGGCACTCTTCATGGGCAAGTTGTAAATTAAATAAATTTGACTCATGTTCTGCATGGCAACAATAATGGTCGTAGATTATTTCAACCAAACTTATGACTAACTTAGAAACTGAGAAAAAAAAAAGAAAAAAAAGAAAAAAAAGAAAAGGAAACACTTCGCTTTTTCTAATTCTATCATTTTCTCCACAATTGGTCATGACCTCGTTAGCTCCATCAGTTTTATTTTTTTATTTTAAAAAGATGCTTTCTTTTTCTGCATTCCCACAAGTCCACGGATCGACTCCAGATCAAATCGGTGCAAATCTGAATCTAATATGATCTGGATATCAAATCCAAAACCCGCCTTGTTTAATATCTATATGCATATTAAGATTTCTATTTCTAAATCTGTACAAGTCCTAATATTACTCTTTCTAACATATTTGATTTAAGGATGCAACCAATACGATTACAATTAGACCGGACCGAACCAGATATTTGGTCCGATCCAATTACATATTAGATTTGTCCGAGTCACATATTAGATTTGTCCGAGTCGGGTCTATTGGGCTATATAAGATTTCACTTTATTGAATTGAGATTTTTTAAATTGAATTTAGATCAAATCCGATCGGTTGACAAGCCTACTCCCATTTATGAAACAACTAATCCATTTAACATCTTAGTGTGTAATGATAATGTAAATGCAAATTCACAAAAAAATGTTCAAAGCTCTATTGTAAAATGTTGTCATGCTTGCCTTTTTTTCTTTGTAGTGGGAAGATGTTGAAACATGCCATTCTCAACTTTGAAGACAAGATATGGTTGTGGTCTTTTGTGGGAATTAAGAAAGTCATTGGAGTGTGGGGTATTGCAATCACTTTCCACCCCAACACACCACAATTGCACTAAGCAACAAAGAGAGGTACATAAACATACAACGACTAACGGCAACAGAAGAATAGGCACAATTCCAATCCTAGCAGTATTCAAAGAAGACAATGGCTCGTTTCCAATTGAAATTTCAACTGGATCAGATAATTGAGGTTTCTGACCAGAAAGAGTCATTAAACTCTGATATGGAAGAATCATTAAACGGAATATTCTTACCTGTAAGAGTTCAAAAAAAAAATTCAATTGGGCCATGTTTGAATAAACTCTTACGAGTAAGAGTCTTCTGCTTAATGATTCTTCCTGATTAGATACTTCAACTGTCTGGTCCAGTTCAAGTTTCAATTGGAGACAAGCCAAATCCTTCAAAGAAAGGGGGTCCCAGTGTATGAGACTATCTTGTGCTACTGCAACAAGGAAGGTCAGATGTAAACAACCTTATTCCTACATATAAACATACTATTTTTAAAGTTTAAACCCATCATGGTTTGAAAAAAGTCATATATAAGCAAGGAGATTCTTGTGCACTATTGTAGGAATTGGGGAAGGTTAAATGTAGGCAACTTAACCTCCACATGTGGAGAAACTTTTTACAAGGTTTTAAACCATGTTGGGTTTGAGGAGAACCAAATATAAGTAACCTTACCTCTATATGTAGAGAGACTGTTTCTAAGGTTTAAACTTATGAACAAGTTTAGGAAGATCACATGTGCCTAGCCTTAGCATTGTATGCAAAGAGACTGTTTCCAAAATTTAAACCTATGATGCCAAAGTCGCAATGAAACAACCTTGCCTTTCTAATCCTAAGATTGTGTTTGGTTCAAAAATTTAAGAGAAGATTTGTGGATGGAAAGATAAAAATGGAAGCAAAAGTGAATATAAGCTAAAATTTTGTCAGATCTCTCATTCTTTCACCTTTTTCTTTCACAAATCCTCGGATTCAAACACAACTAAAGAGTACTTAAGAATCTGATAAAATACAGACAACATAAAAAGACAGACAAAACCTAGTATAAACCCTAGAGAAGAGCTTCCAATGCCTACTTCAAACTGTTCAAACATGCAAACTTTATCTGAAATATGTTCAGGCCACAGATAGGCAAAAATTGAAGTTGCTAGAGTGTCTACTTGCAAACAACCTTTATCAATAGCTTGTTGTCCTGCTTTATATATGATAACAACAGTGCAAAAAACAATGACTTGCACAAAGTCCTGATATGACACCACCAACACATGAGAATAAAAGATAATATTTAAAGTCAAAATCATTGTAAACATCAATTATCATTGTCACTCATTCAGGGGTATGTTAGGGATTCAACATACCATGTTCTACTTTAATACATCATCTACCCATATCTACACCAAAACTAGGTGTTTCAAAGGTATAATAAGCAAGGGCAAGAAATCTGCTTTCAATTTTTCTTGAAAAAGTAAAAACTAGTTTGATGAAAATACATATCATAAAAGAAAAAAAAATATAAAGATGATGTGTGTTTTTTTTGTTTTTTTCACCAAACTTTAAAGTTTTTCTGAATATTTTTTGAAAAAAAGATCTTGAAAACGAAACGAAACAAAATAATTTCATGAGTACCAAATTCAATTTTCAATCCACTTCTATAGAAATAGAGCACTACTTTCTAGACCGTATATTGCCCAGAATCGAGCATTTCATTAGGCAATGACGGGTGCCACTATATCATAGTCCAATAGCAATGCAACACCTCAGTCACTTTCGGCCAAAAATTCGGCCTATCAATGATTTTCCATAGAAATATCTTCAAAAAAAGTGGTGCATCAAAGTGAACCCTATACTTTTACCTCAAAATTTCCTTAAGAAGCCATCTAACAGGGGTATATATGCTCAAGCAGTACAAATAATTGACCAGTTTCTGAGGATCTCAAAAAGATTGAGTGCCTAGGCTTAGTGGCACCATGTGTACCTTAAAATATGCCGCAGATTGCAAGTGTTTTGATATGCTCGACAACTTAAGGGACCCCAAAAAAGGGCAATTTATCTTTCAAAATCAAGAACGAGTTTTCAATCCTAAATAATATGAATTGAAAGTGAACATAGAGCTTAAGTGCTAAATTTGCTAAATGTTAGTTTTGTAGATAAATCTTCAAAAGTATATATCAATTAAAAAAAATGAACCCAAAAAAAAAAAAAAAACCCGTCAGAGATGTGTGAAACTATGTTGCATGGACAAGATGTGTGCATGGCCAACTTGGTTTGTGTTTGTCAAAATATTCAACCATCCACCCTCTACTGCTTATGAAATGCTACTCGGTTGATTCTGAAAAAAGTGACAAAACTATCATTCTCTACAACTGGGGGAGAAATAAAGTGGTTATGCTGGGTTTAAAATTATTCTACAATCCCAAATTTCCAACCAAGTAAAAGAAACAAATAATGACTACTTAGATATCTGTTTAGAGCTCTAATGCTTATCTGAAAGGGACACAGATGATTCTGATTCCCGAAAGTGTTAACATATATTTTCTCTATATGAATAAGTTTTCACAGTATGTTGAAGTCATCATGCAATCCCAACTTACATCCAAATAAAAGAAAACTACAAATAACAAATGCCATAACCGCACAAAACATAACAGTCAAATTAAATTGCAGAGTTGTCTTAGGAATCTCCCCCTAACCCAAAGAAAAAAATCAATCAATTCCATTCATATACCACAGGGTTAAGGTTTCCAGCAGTTTCATGAATCAATATGTGAAAATAAAAAATCATTCAATAACATCAGAACTGTTGTTTTTATCACCAGTAACGGTTGGCATGCATCAAATACAAGAGAACAAAACTATAAAATCTAAGATATGAACTATTCACCTAAGTGTGTATGGTCATGGAGCTCTTCACTTGGATCCAAAAAATTCAATCTATACGGAGAACATTGGGTTGCGGCCTCAATGTCCCAAAGATCAGGTAGGGTACCAAGACCATGCCAGCCATAAACAGCGAGAACTGCAGAACGCAAATATGTCAGCCAATTTTCTCGAGAAAAATTTCTAGGGTAAATTACATTAACTACCCCTGAGGTTTGGAAAAAATAAACTAACCCCCACAAGTTTAATTTCCCTTTTAGCAAAATTAAAGCAAACAAAACTAATGTAAGTAGCATGCAAATACATGAATAATCAAGGGTAAAATATACATTTTAGTATAAAAGAGATGATAATATCATTTTTTCATCCACACGATTAACGAGTGATTGATAGAAAAGGGGCTATGTATTATGTGAATTAAAACCTTAAGGGATCATAGTGTGATTATGTCAAATTAGTGGGGTTCAGTGTATTTTTTTCAAACCTAAAGGGGGGTTAGCATAGTTTACCCAAATTCTGTGTACAAGTAAACACAAAACTAAAACCATATGAGACTCAGACTCACCACAAGAGGCAAGGCCAAGAAACTCCAAATTGGCCACAATGCAAAGGAAAACCTGCATGAAAAGTCCAGAAGAACAGGATGAGCAGTCTTGAACATACCGTCAAAATAATATAAAAACAAATAAGTTGGGATAGTTGCCTTACAAGAAAAAGGAGACGACCCCAATAAAGGTAAAAAATGGTAGGGCAGATGTACTTGGAAAATCCCACTTCTCACCAGACTTCCGTATATTCCATGCTAACATACTGGTGTATAAGAAGAAGATAATGTTCAAACCAACTCCCACCATCCCAAGGTATAAGGGTATTCTGCACGAAGGATACACATAACGGTAAACCACACAAGCAAGGAGATTTTTGTTAATCTATACACACCATCAACTCTTAACTCCTCAAGCAATTACATATGTACAGATGCACATAGAATTAAAAAATTTAAATCAATAATAAGACAAATCTAGTTTTTATTACTGGATGGAACAAAGCTGAAGGTTTGAAGCAGTTGCGTAGCATTTACAAGATCAAAGGACAAGTTAAGCAATGTCTGGCAAGTTCTGGAAGCATGAGCTCTGAGCCTGGAGAAGTGAGGCTTAAGCCACGGGATTTATCACTTTAAATTCAAAATAATAGTAATTGGAAAATTATCCAAATTAAGTGGAGAAACATGCCGTCGCTAACAATGTGATCTGATACTCCCTATAGTCTAGTGGCCTTAAAGTCAATGAATTGCCCAAAGAACCTTCAAAATATGTTCCTAAAGATACAAGTCTCAATTCTTCTAGCGTGCCAATTAATTTTTTTTTATATTTTTTTTTCTTAAAGTATTGACTGCATAACTCAGACAAATCTCAGGTCAGGAGTTGTATGCCACAGTCATACTCATACATACAAATGGAACATTTTCTTTTATCCTCTCCTAAGAAAAGCAAGTTTCAAGTTGTTAGACAGACTTTGATACATCAATCATCAATAAAACTATATCAATTATCAACCTAACAACATCCAATTATTTTTGGTGAATTTCTTAATGTATTGACTGCATAACTCAGACAAATCTCAGGCTATGAAGCACGGATACTTCAAAAAGGGTGACATATCCGTATCGGATACTTATCGGATACCGATACTCCTCGAATACTCGCGGATACGTATCGGATACTTCTTAAAAGTATCGGATACTTCTTAATTAATTTTTTATTAATTTTGAAGTATCGGATACTTAATTTTGAAGTATCGGATACTCGAAGTTACATATTACTTATAATATTTTGTTTAGTTCTTTCATAAGAGGAATATAGTGAGAGCTTAAGTAATAGAATTTGTCAAATTGATGTATCCTTGTTGTCTCTCTCACTTCTCTCTCGCTTTCTCACTCTCTCACGTTTCTTCTCTCTGATCCGTATCCGTATCCGTATCCGTATCCGTATCCGTATCCGTATCCGTATCCGTATCCGTATCCGTATCCGTATCCGTATCCGTATCCGTATCCGTATCCGTATCCGTATCCGTATCCGTATCCGTATCCGTATCCGTATCCGTATCCGTATCCGTATCCGTATCCGTATCCGTATCCGTATCCGTATCCGTATCCGTATCCGTATCCGTATCCGTATCCGTATCCGTATCCGTATCCGTATCCGTATCCGTATCCGTATCCGTATCCGTATCCGTATCCGTATCCGTATCCGTATCCGTATCCGTATCCGTATCCGTATCCGTATCCGTATCCGTATCCGTATCCGTATCCGTATCCGTATCCGTATCCGTATCCGTATCCGTATCCGTATCCGTATCCGTATCCGTATCCGTATCCGTATCCGTATCCGTATCCGTATCCGTATCCGTATCCGTATCCGTATCCGTATCCGTATCCGTATCCGTATCCGTATCCGTATCCGTATCCGTATCCGTATCCGTATCCGTATCCGTATCCGTATCCGTATCCGTATCCGTATCCGTATCCGTATCCGTATCCGTATCCGTATCCGTATCCGTATCCGTATCCGTATCCCGTATCCGTATCCGTATCCGTGCTTCCTAGATCTCAGGTCAGGAGTTGTATGCCACAGTCATACTCATACATACAAATGGAACATTTTCTTTTATCCTCTCCTAAGAAAAGCAAGTATCAAGTTGTTAGACAGACTTGATACATCAATCACCAATAAAAGTATATCAATTGTCAACCTAACAACATTCAATTATTTTCGGTGAAAAAAATAATGTTTTTAACAAAAAATAGAAAAAAATGAAAAAACAAAAAAGAAAGGAAAGAAAGAAGAGAAAAGAAAATAGTAGCAAAAAACAAAAAACACAATTATTCAGTAATCAATCCAAATACCTAAATCATTCAACATTCTGAAAGGGTTAAAATATAAATGTCCCAGGTGTTCAAGTTGTTTGTAAACATAAAGATACATCCCTAATAGTTGAGAAAACAAACTCTAAATGGCATGATGCTGCACATAAAACATGCTATCATAGATTTTCAGTACACAACAATACATAATCCTTTTAATCATTACTGCATGGTGTTAGATCAAGATTTTTGCAATTTTAAGGAGATTAACAGTTAACCAAGTTTTTCTAATGAAATCAGGATCAAGATTTTGGAAGAAAGCCACTTAGTTCTGACATCAACCCTTGATAGTTTTAATTTCAACTTATAATTCATCGAAAGAGTCTTTTAATTCATCAAAATACCAACACACAAAAAAAATGCGAGATTCAAACATATTCTAATAGACACCACAAATACGACATGGTTTTCAAAATATGCAAGTAGCAATCAACATGTCCAGAAGGAAGTGAGAAAAAGTCCAATCTTTAATATTGCAGAATTAAAAAATCAAATTATTATGAAACCATTCCACTTTCTTTCATATCATTAACATGTGAACATGTTGTTCCAACCCACTCTTTTTTGATTAAATAAAAGCACTCTAAGGCGACCAAAATTTGGGCATTTTGAAATGAAATTACTGTTAAATTTTAATGACTGTATAATTGAATTTGAAAACATCCTACACAGCCAAAAATTACTAACTGGTAAATGTGGTCCTGTCAAGAATGTTTAATTATAAATTCTCTAAACTTTGTAGCTATCAAAACTCCATAAATTCTAATCATCTTTGGGGCTACCAAAAATCCATCAATTCTCATCATCTTTGTAGCTACCAAAAATGCATCAATTCTCATCATCTTTGCGGCTACCAAAGCTCCCCTAGTCTAATAAAATTCTTTAAATTATGCAACACTAGCAACTATGTCAATCTTAGCCTCTAAGAAAAAAAACAATGAATTTTAAATTCTTCCAATTATTCAAGACTAGAAACTATGGCAACCTTAACCACTAACAACCAAACAATGAATTTTTAACTGTCCTCTATGTGCTTAAAGAACTAATAAAAAGAGCAATAAACGGATAATAAAAAATCTAAGCATAAGCATTTACCTTCTAATCCGATCATCGTGCCACAAGATGACAATAAAATTGGAATGCCTATCACCATAGTATATGATAAAAACTGCAGAAGCAATCCAAAGAACATTCTCCGTAATCTCAACCCATCTCCGTCGCGTCTTCTGCTGCAATGACGACGGTGACTGAGGACTTGCTCTTGAACATGCATCGTCCTCGAGGTCATCACTACCCGAGGTATATCCTTGGCTATGCCTCTGTCTCATGAATCCACCCCCAACTGGTGTTCCACCAGACATTGTTCACTCAAAATAATGACAACCAAAGAATCCAACAAAACCTTTCTAAACTCTCAATCAACCTACTTCTGAAATTTCTTAAATTTAGTCTTCCACAAACATAAAAAGTATGAAGATCTATAGTCTGTAAATCCTATTAAATTCTGACTAAAAAATTATCCACAGACCTAAAAATGACCAAAAAATGTCACTAATGGAACAGTATCAAAATCTGTCTAGATATCTCTGTAAATTGAATGCACAAACTATAAAATTCAATCAAGTTCTATATCCTAAAAACCATTATCATATATATGATAAACTCAAACACAAAACCCACAAAAACCCGCAAAAACCCACAAAAACATGAAACAGAAAAGATCATAGCAGCGTAATCCAATCATTTCCATCTCCATAACCCACATAAAAAATCAAATTTCTCACAAAACCCATCATCACAATCGAATTTCCCCACAAAACCCTGACCATACGATGCGAGATTACGGAGAATCAAATATCAAAACAATCATTCTATCAAGAAGAAACCCAGAAATCCAATGCCTTAAAAAAGAATTCTTGAAACCCGGAGAGGGGATTCAAAATCCCACAAGATTGCCCAAATCTCGGGCTCTTCAACTGCTCAGATTACAGTATATCAATGTAAAGGAGTAATTAATGAATAGAGAAGAGGCTTGGCAATAAATAAGGCAACCCAAGACAAGGTTTTTGAGTCGCTTCGTGTAGAGAGGGAGAGGGAGAGAGACAGAGTGTTGTGGTGTTGTGGGTGACGAGGGATCTATGGCGTGGCACAGACCCGTAAGAATTGGAAAGATTTGCAGTTGGGTGTGTAGTGTAGGCCACCTGATTCGTTTCGTGTGCAACCTTGAAGGAATGTTTGGATTGGAAAATTAATTTTAAATGTAAAAATATTTTGCTATATGTTTGGAATTTCTTAAACTTAATACTCATTTTAAAATATTTTGAATTTTCAAATTAGTCAATAGACACACCACAGATCAATGATCTCACCGTAATTAGTACCGGCTTAAATTTTTAAAATTTTAAGATACTAATTTTTTTGGGTATGTGCAGGAATAGTCATTAGTTGGGTTTAGAATGTATTTATAACCTCTCGACAAATTGGATTGGTGGTGGGAGCAAGTTAATTTTATAATTTTAAAAATATAAATACCAATAAAAATTATAGATAATAGTATTTATAATTAATGAAAGTTAAAAGATGTAAGATGATAAATAAATAATATTTGAGTCAATTTTATAATATTGAAAAAAAATTGAATGATATATATTTAATAAATATAAATATGACAGAGGAGTAAAACCCCATTTATATCCGATTAATGCTCTTAAAGCATCTCCTGCCCCACTTAAAGAATAAGCTGTTTTCTGACTTCCACAAAGTTATAAGCTATAAGCTATAAGCTAAACCAAACACATCAAAATAGCTTAAATTAAGCTGAAAGCTGAAATAAGCTGAAATTAAGCTGTACCAAACAGGGCCTTAGTACCGGCTTAAATTTTTAAAATTTTAAGATACTAATTTTTTTTTGGATATGTGCAGATCTCTCGGCAAATTGGATCGGTGGTGGGAGCAAGTTAATTTTATAACTTTAAAAATATAAACACTAATAAAAATTATAGATAATAGTATTTATAATTAATGAAAGTTAAAAAATGTAAGATGATAAATAAATAATATTTGAGTTAATTTTATAATATTAAAAAAAAATTGAATGATATATATTTAATAAATATAAATAGGACAGAGGAGTAAAACCCCATCTATATCCCGTCCCACTTCTTCATGGAGGTGGAGAAAATCCGCACCGGGTGGGAATAGATGGTCATCCCTAGCTTATGCGTGAATTCTTTTTAAAATTTAATTTTATGTAATAATTGAACTAGGAAAAAAGATTATTTAAATAAAAAAAAAATAGTTTGAATCATTTACAAGTCGATCTGTTTATTCATATGAAACTATTTTTAAGGTATTAATTTTGTTTGTTTGCAAATCAATTGAAAAATTAGATGTCAAAATATAATAATCGAGTCTTAAAGTATTAAACTTAGAAAGTGAATTGATTTTAATTCATTTTTTAAAATTACCATAACATTGTATTTATTTGAATAATTTCTTGCTCTTTTTATTCAAAATGATTAAGACGAATCTTGCAAATTTGATAGTGTCCCCCTTTTGCCAATTATTCTGAAGAGATTGTTTCAAATCATATAGAAATGCTAATTAATTTAGAATTAACATTTTTTTATTATAAAACTTCTTCAAAATATATTGGAAACAATATTTGCAAGCAATAACCAACAAATATAAAAAAGAAGTGTGTACTTGGATTTCATAAACAAAAATTTCCAGTATCATAAAGAAAATGTTCTAGAATGAGTGTGATTTTTTAAAAAATAAAACATGTTTTCAAATTAATAAAAGAAAAAAAAAGAAATTAACAGAGGAGAGGAATAGAAATGCTAATTAATTTAGAATTAACATTTTTTTTATTATAAAACTTCTTCAAAATATATTGGAAACAATATTTGCAAGCAATAACCAACAAATATAAAAAAGAAGTGTGTACTTGGATTTCATAAACAAAAATTTCCAGTATCATAAAGAAAATGTTTTAGAATGAGTGTGGTTTTTTAAAAAATAAAACATGTTTTCAAATTAATAAAAGAAAAAAAAAAGAAACTAACAGAGGAGAGGAAAAAGAATTTATCATAAAAATGGAAGGAAAAGAACATAATAAAGGAGGGTAAGTGAACATATATGCGCGCACACGCAATTTTTTTTTTAATTCACATAATAGTTAGATTATTTTTGATTAATAATTTGTTATATTATATGATATATCAGATTGTTGGATTTGCTTATTTACTATCTCAATTGTACTTTATTAATTTGTAATTAATTTTTTTATTTCTCATTTTATGATAATCTTACAATAACATAGAACAAACCAGAATAAAATGGTCGAAATAATTTTTTATTTCTCAAGCCTTTTGGTTTGTCTTATTTGAGAAAATATTCATTTCATGGGCTTGAGATGTGTTGGAAGTTCATTGGACACAAAGAAAGGTCAAAATAGTTTAGTGTTAAATGGGTTTTTGTTTTAAAACTTCAAGCCCATGCCTCTTGTGTTTTGCAAGCATACATCAGTTGATCATGCTTGCTTGTTCACCACTCTATTATTTTTGAATTAAATGACTGCCAAACTTGGCCACCCAAAGTGGAAATTAATAATTATAGGGGTGTGCTATGCAAAGACAAAAATAATGGAAAAATACCCTAAAAAAACATGACAATATGGACTTGCATGTGCAATTTCTAGTGATTTCTTTTTAAAGTTTTGTTACATATCCCTACTACTAAGCCTCCGTTTGACAAGTTAGTTTCTAGGTTTTTTTGGTTATTTTAGTCATAAAAGACAAAATAGGCTATTTTAGTCACAAAAAATAAAATATCACATCCAACCCATAATTATTATACTCTTCTCTCACAAAAAAAACTAAAAAAGTCAAAAAACTAAAAAGTCCTTCCCAAACCAAACTTTTCAGCTCAGGCTAAAATAGCCAAAAAAATTTAAAAAGTCAAAAAACTAACCCACTTCCTAAACGAAAGTTGGATTCATTTTAAGAGATCACTGAATATTTATTTGATCATTAATTTCAAAATTTTAAAATTAATTGAGGTGTGCGTAAATTAATTTAGGCACACCCAATAATTTCTTTAAAAAATTTCTTACTGAACTTTTGAATATTTTATACATTATACAAGTGAGTATGAACCTTATATTATGTGGAACCCACATAATAATTTTATAAGACTCTATTTGGTTAAACTTCAAAAGCTATTTTTTTTTTTCATAATAAACGCTGATCATTTTCACATGACTTTTTCTTTTTTAGAGTAAACATAATTTTTGGAAATTTAAAATAATTTTTAGTGCTTATTTTGGTCCAATTAATTTATATATTTGAAAAAATAAATAGAAATATATTTTGATAATTTTTGAGAGAACGGAGGATTTTAAAACCAAGTGATAAGGGTTTTGTTTGGTTGAGTTTTTAGAATATATTTTTGAATTTAAAAAAATAATAATTACAAACTAGTTTGATAAAAATAAAATTTCTAAAAATTGTTTTATCCTTAAAAAGATAGAAAATCATAATAAAAAAGAGTTGGTTTCATTATTCAATCATCAAGATAAAGGTTTTTACTCACCTATTATTGGGTTTTAAAAGAGTGATGTGTTGAAAACGAAAGTGACTTTGGTTTGATAATCACAATGGTTAGATTTCTTAAGCTAGCTTCTTTCTAGGAGGAATCTTTGTGATGTTATATATATAAACTCTTGAATAGAATTGTTACACTATATCTACTCGGTATTTCTAAGTTTTAATGTAAAGTATTAAGCTTAGGCAATATTATTATATGACTTTTAAGTTGACTTTTTTGCTTATTATGAAAAGAGGTGCAAAAAATAAATTTATGTAACTTCAAATAAGTCAATAAGCAACTTATTTATGGTATTACCAAATAAACTCTAAATTAACTTTAATAAAAGAGTCAGTCTTATTAAAGATGTAAAGAGTTTTAATCAATATCACTAAAGACTTGTAAATTAGCTCCAAGCAAAGAATCAAGTTTGCCAAAGACATAATAAAAGTTTTAGTCAATTTTATCATTATCATATTAGGATCAGAGACTACCAACTTAAAGACTTATAGACATCACTGAAAACTTCTATGTTAATTTTGATGAAAGAGGGAAACTCAAAGAAGTAATAGAGTTTCAATAAATTGTATCATTATCATATCAAGATAAAAAATTTACTTGAAATTTATAGACAATATCACCAAAAACTTCTAAGTTAGCTTTAATGCAAGAGTTAAGCTAGTGACAAATAAAAGACATGCATTTTTAATATTCAAAGGTTCATGTGCCAAAAAATTAATTTGTGAGATTTCCTACCTTTGTTTGGAAAATTCATACTCAAATTTATGATCCAAATACATCATAAACTCGTTTGGAAAGTGAGTTGACTTTTTACCTTTTGATTTTTTTGGCTATTTTAGTCTGGGGCTAAAAAATCTGGTTTGGAAAGGACTTTTGATTTTTTTGTGAGAGAAAGAATGTAATGATTATGGGTTGGATGTGATGTTTTGTCTTATTAGGCTAAAAAACATATTTTGTTTTTTGTAGCTATTTTAGCCAAAAAAACCTCAAAACCAACTTCCCAAACGGAGGCAAAGTTATTTGAATTCTCTCCATTTGAATGAAAATAAAAGTTTCGGTGGTACTACATGCACCAATTAACATATACACTAGTATACCAACTAGTGTTATGTCATTATTACTGACCCCATCTATTATATAAATTATAAATACCTAAAACCTCTAAAATTATGCCATATCATCTGTCAATATAGTAGTTAGTACATTAATGGGTACATATAGAATTATTCTAAAAATTTCGATGGTGCTACATGCACCAATTAATGTACACACTAGTGTATCAATTAGTGTTACGTCATTATTATAAGGAACAGTTTTGTGGTTGATTCTCTATCTATGTAGTAATATGGAGAATATGGGTATGAAAAAGAGACGTGTTTTAATATACATATTTTTTTAAATCTCAACCCAACAATTAAAAAAACTAGCTAGATTAAGTTTGTAAATACAAAAAAAAAAAACAAAAATTCAGAATATTTTTATATTTATTAAATTTAAAAAAAATATATCCACAAATATTTTATTTTCTAGGTTCATCAAGGTTAAGTGCATCAAAAAAATAAAATTATTTAACTAAAATATGAAAAAAAATCACTGAAGATAACAAAATACAAAAAAAATTAAAAACTGTATTTGAAAACTTAAAATCAAAACGTTTGTTTTGTGAATTATGCTTTTACAAAAGTGAGCATGATCGGGAAACCACACAAATTGATTATAATTAATTTTTATTTAAAATTTAATATTCAAACAAAATAATAATAATAATAATAATAATAATAATAATAATAATAATAATGTAACGTGTGAGACGAAGAGTGGTGTGTAAGTTCTTTTAAAAGAGAGATGTGTGTCGAAATAAAAGTTACTTGGTTTGATAGGTTTCTTAAGCTAACTTCTAAGAAAAACCTTTGACCATATATTATAGATTCGACTTTGATATGAGGTCAAGCTATTAGCTAATCACTACTCATTGTGAATTCATGAACATTGAATTCGAATTTCAACTTGAGTATTCCTAATGATATGAGGTAAGGAAATTCAAATTGATACATAGCTAATCGCTCTCAATTTTAATTATAATAACAATTATTTAATGATTAGCTAACCAACAATGTAATAAGAGTTCTAGTTAATTTTATTATTATCATGTTAAGGTCACTGACAGCGTACTTAAAACTTATAAATAATATCACTTAAAACTTTTAAGTTAGCTTTAATGAAATAATCAAACTTATCAAAAATATAATGACTGTTTTAGTCAATTTTATTATCATCATGTCAAGATCACTGAAGACTTACTTAAAACTTATAGTGCCGTTTCGGCAACACAGCAAAAAGCTGCGTTTTGAGCAACTTCCCAAAAACGCCAACACTTGCAAAAACGCCACTAATCCCATTTGGGAAGACCCAAAAAAGCCACTTAAAAATTTACCAAACTGTCCACTGGAACATTATAATTAATTAATTCAAAAAATTGTGGACATGCAAAAAGTAAGGATATTTTGGTCATTTCAGAGTGATGTGACACTTTTAAAAAATATTAAATCAAAAAGCAAAAAAGTCAACTTTTTACCAACTTCCCAAATCACTTTCAAAAAAGTCAAAAAACTTGACAAAAAATCAAAAGTCAACTTTCTATCAACTTTCCAAAACACCCTATAATCAATATTACTGAATGCTTTTAAGTTACTTTTAAGAAAAAGTCAAGCTAGTAACATATAAATGACTGACACTTTTAATAGTTAAAATGTGACAATCCATTTGGGTAATAATAAATCAATAAATTCTTAATGTAAATATTTTCGAGTAAGACTATAATTATTAGGAATGTTTAAATTTTATTTAGGGTTAATTCTAGAACATTAAGGAAAATGAAAAGTTAAAGATACAGAGAGATGGAAGAGACACTTGTCATTATTTATATATAAGAATGTGTCATGTAATCGTAATTACGCATGGCACTTGGTTGTGAATAATTATTTAATAAAAAAATAAATTGTTGGATAATATGAAGATCAAAATAAAAATAAAAATAAGAAGAGGAACAAGTGGCGTTCACTTGTGCCGTGGGTGAGGTGTCAGTGTCTCGTGTTGGTTGGTTGACAAATTTGTATTTAATTTAAACAATTTAAAATATTCGAACTACCTTTTAAAAATTGTCTTTAAACGAATTTTTGTTTATTTTTATTAATTTTTTTATTTATATTTTAGTTAATTTTTTTAGATATATCAAGATTAGATACATTTAAAAAGTAAATTTTTTTTAATTAAAATATGAAAAAAAATCACACTACCTTTTAAAAATTGTCTTTAAACGAATTTTTGTTTATTTTTATTAATTTTTTTATTTATATTTTAGTTAATTTTTTTAGATATATCAAGATTAGATACATTTAAAAAGTAAATTTTTTTAATTAAAATATGAAAAAAAATCACAAAAAAATAAACAAAAATTCGAACAAAAATGTACATAAATTTTTGCTCAAATTTTCGTTTATTTTTAATATTTTTTAAAAATTTAAGAAATTTATTTATTTTACCTTTTAGATTCATCTTGATCTAAAAAATATAAAAAATTGATTAAAATATAAAAAAAAATTACTGTATTAAAAATAAACAAAAACTTATCTAAAAATAATTTTTAAGAAATTCAGCTAAACAGACGTTAATTTCTTACTGGATACAATATAGACATAATGATGATTTTTTTAGCCTAGAGCTGGTTTTGATTCAATTCTAAAGATTTCACAATTCAATTTGGTTTCTTCTTCCTTCTACGTGACGCCTACTTGATACTTGCACTCATTTGGGATGGTAGTTTGAGGTTAAAATAGTTATAAAAAAATAAAAAAAATTAAATAATCAAAAAGATAAAATATTATATTTAAATTGTAATTATTTTATTCTATTTTTATAAAAATTAATAAAATTAAAAATCTATTCCAAATGAGATTTTTTTAACAAAAAAAAAAAAAAAAAATTAAAAAGCAACCCATATCCCAAACCAACTCATAGCCTTGTACTTTTTAAAATATCACATCATAAATATAACAAAATTAACCACTCTGTTTATTTTATCAAATTAAGTTTTCTATTTATATAAATATAGCCAATATTGAAGAATCTTATATTAAAGTTTTGTTTAGCATTGGCTAATATAGTTAATTTTTTGTGTTGAGACTTTTTTAGATTGGCTTTTTTAGTTTCGTTTGGTTTGAATTTTTTGACTTTTTGACTTTTGTGAGAGAAAAAGTGTAATGATTATAAGTTAGATATAATATTTTGTCTTATTAGTTTATTTAGCCTATTTTTATCATTTTGTACTTTTTTTAGTCCCAAAATGATAACCAAACCAGGGCTAATTAATCTTACAATTTTTTTCCCAATCTAACCATCTATCAAATTAAAATAATGTAAAAAATTGAACTATGTTTTTAATTTTTTGAAGTACATTGATTTTTATTGAATTATATAATTTGGATATAGTGGTAAATTTTTTAACCAAAAATGATTGGAAGCTCTAATAAAGGAATTTTAATAAGCTCCAATAGGGGTGGGCCCACTGTAATGTGATTTTTGTCTCTCTTTTTCTTGTTTTTTTAATTGATTGCCATATCATTAGAACTCAATTAGAATTCCAAAATTAGGAGATGTATCATTGCTCATTTTTTAACGTAAAACAGTGAAATGAAAATCAAATCACATGGTTCTGTTTCAATTTTAAAGATTTTACAATTCAATTTGGCTCTTAAATTTTTAAAATCTAGGACCTAGCTTGATTCTTAATTTAATTTAAAAAATATTCTAATTTGAGAAGTAAATTCCAATATTTGTGGCTTCTTGTGATGCATTATCTTTTCCGCATAATGGAATCATATTGCGTTACACAATGGGTAACTCTCCCGATGAATTTTGGAAGCAATGATCCACGATGAAATGAAAGTGACCTAGTTCCATATTTCCAAAGGCATTGTTTTCTTTAGGTGGTGTTTGGATCAAAGATTTGGATAAAAATTTAGAAAGAAAAAGATTAAAATTGAATTTCTTTAACATTTTACTTACTTTTTTCTTTTCTATTTTTCAAATTCCTACAAAAATCCATAATCTAAATACAGCCTTATGTTGGTATGTTTGTAGGGCAATATATTTGAAATTTTCACAAGAGTTTTTGTATTGGTTCTCTATTTATATGGGTATAAAAAATAAAAATGTACATCTCAATATACATAATTTTTTGAAAATATGCTAGCCAAACATTTTAAAAAGCAGTTATGTTTTTTTGGTATTATTAAAATTTAAATCAAAATGTGCTTGAAATCGTGCTTATACAAAAGTGAGCATGATTGGCATATTTTATTTGAATTTTCATGAACGACACAAAATAAAATAATGGGGGTTAATTTTTCCATATTCAATTTATTATTTAAATTTTCACCGTGATTAGTTTTTCAATATCCGATTTATTATTGAAATTTTCTCCATTTTTCATACAAAATGTAGAAGTTTCCCTAACAAAAATTGAAAGAGTTTCTTTTTAATTTGTATCCCCTTCTAAAAAATCACCCAATCCAAACAGACTGTATCACTACATTTGGTTTCATTTTCAAAATCTATTTTCTGAAAACTAAACCAAATTAGTTTATTGTGTGTTTAGGAAAACAAATTATGAAAACGAAACCGAAAGCATTTTACAACTAGGATTTCAAAGAGATGTAATTGCAAAATCACCATCAGCAACCTTTCCCATAGACAACTACAAGAAAAGTATGATGCAAAATCAGGGGTTTCCACCACTATTGGAGAGGCTAACCAAGTCCATCAATGTTGAATACAACAAATCCAATGATAAATAACCCAGGAATTTCCTCGTGTCCGATCCACCATCAGAAACATCTGCATGAAGCTTGCGTTCCTCGGTGAATCCATCCTCCATCACCAACCACCAGGAGATGCATCCTTGGGTATCTTCTGGATCAACATGTGCCACGAGGCCAAGTGTTTCCCCTTGCTCAAGCTCGAAGGACAAACATAGATAGTCCCGATTCACTTTGATTCCAACCATAAGAGCTTCCTCGTGAAGCCAACGAATAACTTGGCTTGCAATCTGTAGTCAAAGTAATACATGTACAAATTTCATTTTTTTTTTTTGGGTGAAAAATACAAATTTCATTGTGTAGTACATATTGTGAAAGTTGTTATCTAACAAGAAGATACGTGGCTTTAGTTGAAATTTCACATGCATCTTTCAGATAGAAATTATGTTTTGATTCTATTGTAATTGGAAAAACAAAACATGGTTTTGGATTTTTAGTGGATGCAACACGACAGCACACACAACATACCCAATTCTTATTGAGCAATATATAGGCAAACTAAAGTTTGATGATCATGGTAACCGTGTTTGGTTACACCCATCATACAACCTTTATTTGGTCCATTGAATTACTAGATTCGCAAAATTTTCCCATTTGGAAATGTTACTGATTGTTATGCTTGCAATGTTGGACCTAAGGGTGTGCTTATGGGATGAGCCAGAACAGGTTTACTATTGACCTGTCAACCGACCCGACCAATTTGGGTTAACAAAATGCTCAAACAATCTCGACCAACAATGAGTGTAACTAAGATGAGAATGCTTAGATTGTAGTAAGACTAGGAAAGACAAAATCATTAATAAATATATTCATGAAATAGTTGGAGTAACATAAATTGAAAATAAGTTGCAAGAATAGGCTAAGATGGTTGGTTGAGATGCAGTAAAAAGTTGAATGATCACTGTAAATAAAAATGTTAGGGAGAGGGGAATGCATAAATTGACAGATAGGAGATGCAGTAGTAAAAAAAAGATACGAATTTATTTAATTTAACTGAGCATATAGCAAAATAGTGAAAAAAAAAAAATTCATGTAGGTTTTAGTGCGACACAAGGTTTAGTTTAGTTTGGTTATGCATCACAAGTCAACTGTATTATGCAACATGCATGCACCATCACATATATGTAACACCATTGACACACACAAGTGGGACAAGTCCATGGTTTGGATTTAAATTTTATATCCTCATTGTATATCACACGCTCTCCTGTACTGTTATACAAAAACATCAATTTTCCTATCTCCAGTAAACTTTGTGTACTAGAGCAACTACAAATTATATTTCTTTCTATCTCTTCTAAAATTTTATTTTAATGGAACTTACAAAAGTTCATAACCCTTGTGAGATAATTAGAATTTGTCCAAATTCTAAGAAACAACATTATGAAACATAAATGTCTCTGGACTGTAACTTCTAATGTTTAATGTGAATAAATGGAAAATGATACCTAATCATTCAAGTATATAAACTTCACTTGGTGTGTATCTATTCAAAGAATGCTAGTATTACATCTGTGCATGCTCTTTATTTTTATTTATAAAAAAAACTAGTGCTTGCGATATGTAAATGACAAAATACACCATGAAACTTGGCACAGACCACGTACAGGTCACTAAAACCTAAAATATCTATTAATGCAAGGACAGCAGTCCTTGTGCTTAGCATTACCAAGTTTAAGTTTCCTATATGCAGCTACAACAACTAAATGAACTTATATACAATAACCACACAAAAATCATAAAAATAGAGACATACCTGCTGAAGAAGTATCACAGGAAGATCTGCCAAGTCACAGTCATATCGGTTCATAGAGCAGATGCCCTCAGAACTTTTGAAGAGGGCAACAACATTGGGAGCACCTTCCCCTTCTACATTAATGAAATCATCATTCACCACCACCTTGGTTCGAAACTGTGACTTCACATCCTTAATATGTTTAATGCCCGAGTTTTGGGATTGGCATCCAGCATGAAGAATGGACTGAGGAACATTCATGGAGATTGTCCACGAAGATGTTCGAGAATGCCAAGTAGGATGAGAGATAAGTTGGACATACGGGACCCCAGCAACCTTTCATATATCAAACAAAGTATCAGATGGAATGAAATGGTGAAATAAAAATAAACAACAAATTTCTTTTTCTTCCCGTTTAAATTTTGATTCATGTAAACAAGAAGTCAATACCAGATTTTCCAGCTCAGCGAGAACTTTGTTCGAAAAGATCCTGTGAGCCAGAGACATGCAGAAATGACCCAGAAGATTTAACCCATCCTTTGATGGTTGCTGATTAGATAAGTGAGTTCTACCAGCAGAAATAGATCCATCTTTCGCTCTTAGAAGTACATGTTCATGAAAAATTTGTGCCAAATAAATTTCACAACTCATTCGATTAGGAAACCTGGGCTTCTTTTTTTGGGCATCATTTTTCCCTTCACCTAACCGTGATCCATCATATGTTTCAAAAGGTACAATGGCAGTGTCCAAATTTTGAGTCTCTGCACTATCAACTGTTTGATTATCTTGCCCAGATGGCACAAGTGAAATGAAGACAGAAGCTCCTTGACCTATGCTCAGTTGCAAATAGCTTTCTCGTATTCCAGTCACATTCACACCTAAAGATGGGTTTAATGCTTCGCGATTCACCAAATCAAAAACCTGGAACAAGAGAACCAGAAGCAGTAAAAATGTAGTACTTAGAAGTATGAAGGGCATAGAAAAGCAAGGAACATACCTGCTCATCAAAGATTGCATGATGAACTTCACGGAGAATTGAATGTGTTTCTTTAACACACTCATCATCACTCACAGGTTCTTTCTTAGTTTCTTTGGATAGATCCTCAGAGGAGCAACGGTTTTTCGTTTTACTAGATTGTCTTGGATTATTACCCAAATGCGAACCAAGAAATGAAAATTCAAGTGAGCGGCACGAATTTGGAGGTATGTTCACAGCTAGCATACCAGCTGGGTCATGCTCAACTCGCACTGTTGATATAGAAGATGGACGAGATACGACCACTGAATCATGTAATGTATTGTCAAATAGATCAATGTAGAAGCCTTCGTTGCCAGGAGCAAAAGCGACCACACGCTGCCGTTTAACTTTCCAGTTTTGCTGCAATCTATCCGCTTGTCAGGAAATAAAGTAGATGGAGGATGAAATTATGCGTACATCATTATGGGATAATAAGCTTCTTTTATTCATATATATATGAACTGATGAAGAAATGGAGATCAAGAAAACAATATACAACCACTGCCAGTTGTCAACAAATTGTGGTTTACTGGGTTCATTGTAAGGGCTACTGAGGCTCCATAGCTATATAAAACCAATATAAATTAATGACAAGATCTAAACAAGAAAGCAAAATATGGCGATTGTTTACTCCATAAAGATCTAAAATAGGACATTTGAAATGTAATATTCATGAAATGTAGATGTAGTGTATCTGATACTCTACAAATCATGGCATTTGGGGCATGTTCACCTGATGAGAGCACCATAGAATCTTGCTTCCCTAGCAACCTGCCTTTCCAATGCTTTGGCAGATTGCTTGAAATATTTCCCAAGATGCTGCCAATCAGAAACAAAGAGCAAGTAAAAAGCAGCTTGACATATCTAACAATCTACCATTATGCAGACATAGCAAGGCTGCTGCACAAATATCATTTTGTCGATCGAAATTGTCTACATGTATTACTTGTCAATGCGAATTTATGCTAACTATACCTAGCCTATCGGCTATCACATGTAACAAAAGGTGAGATTGTGAATTTAAATAAAGGAAGAGCATCACTGTTATTATATATACAAATACCACAAACACAAAGATGAGTACCCGGAAGCATTGCAGCTTTGTTGCTGTAGATACAGCAAGGTCAGACACTAGTTCATTAGGTAACTGCTTCGGCCTGGTCATGCCAGCCACTGTAACTGCATCATTAGCTTCCACCTACACATATCAAAAACAAAAAATTACATAATTTTATTCCTCATTCAAGTTTTGATGATTCTATTCCCTATTGACATTTTTTTTTTATATATTGACGAAAACACTTGAGGGTAAAGTCATATCAAGCAAAAAAATTAACCTAAATCAAGTACTTACTAAAGTATACAAAAAATTCTAACTTGAAGCTTGTTACGTGATTCAAATTTAAAGCTAAAAAACTACAAATTGTGCATTTAAAATCCTAAACCTACATTTAAATCCGACACCTCTGTTATCAGAACTTACAATTCGCGATTTGATTCGCGATTTGATTCACGATTCGATTCGCAATTTTTGCAAAATCGATTTGAATCTATAGGTGAATCTATTTTGGAAGTGAATATCTAGTGAATCGCACGATTTACAATCGATTCACGATTCAATTCACTTTTTAAGATTCAAGCAATTTTTGAAATTATTGTGTTCGACATATTTTCGACTCTTTTTTTTCTCTATTTTTAGTGAAAATCATATAATACAACTTTTAATAGCGTTTAATACCAAAATAACTAATATATATACATGATTTGTTGTTATTTTAGTGAACATGGAGTTTTTAATATGATCCAATCAGATTCAATAAGACCCAACATATTTTTAATCTTTCTTCTAATTTTTTTCCCTTTAAAAAATCATAATATATCTTCTATAGATGTTTAAGATTAAAGTTACACTATGAATCATCTATTGCTATTTTATTAAATTGAATATAATTGAATATTACATATGTGAGATTAGTTATACATTTTAAAATAAAATATTCTAAATAATTATTTCTTATTATTTACTCACTACTACTTAGAAAAGTATATATACTTACTGTCCAAATATCAATATCATTGTTAATTATTGTACCTTGAAAATTAATAGTTTGTCTATTTAGTTATTATCTTTATTAAGAATGGTTGATAAGAAATATTTAAAAAAGCTAAAAAAGTAAGATGATTATCTTACATAGAAACTTTTGTTAACTTCTTACCTATTAAACTACACGATTATCATTCAAAATATGATTTTCATTGATTTAAGTCTAAATATTTCATATTCATAAGATATATTTAACATCTAAATGTGTGTATATATATATATATATATATGTTTCTAAGTAATTTAGAAAAAGTGACCGAATTTTTATGATTCACGATTCAATTTGATTTGAGATTCAGTATGAGGCCATTTTAATTCACAATACGAATCCTGATTTCACAACAATGTCCGACACATTTAACCTGAAATGATCCCTTTCGGGCAATGTTCAATACCAAAACCCTATCAATTACATATAATTAACTTACAAATACAATGTGGGGTTTGTGTGCAGAAACATACACATTCATAATATATATGTGCATATGTATAAAAATCAGTCAGGATGAGAGTGACTCACGGTATTGATGAGATCGATGATGACAGACAGCTCTTGATGAGCCAACTGCAAATTCTCGACCATGCTCTGCCATGGCCATGTCGTTGTTGCGGCCTCTTTCGAAGAAGACGAAGACGAAGACGAAGACGAAGACGAAGTCTTCTTCTGCTTCTTGTTGGGGTCTTCTCTCTCCACTGCCCACGCGAAGTCTATTCGTCGAATTAGGTTCAATCGCTTCTCGTCATAACCTACATCACTGCAAAATGTACACATATAATTACATATCTACAGACATACATATATACACATATATACATTGAATCAAAGCTTACGAAGAGAATCGTTCGAGTCCGTTTTCTTCAATGGATTCTAAGCGCTTGATTGGAAGCTTGTCCAGAGAGATTTCCAAATCTCCGTCCATTTTCCCGGGAAAATTCGAGAGAAATTTTGAACCAAGCCCTAGAAGAAAAAAAAAAGCCAGATGTAGAAATTGCCGGGAAAGGTGAAGCCCTTCAGTCTTCAGTCTTCATCAGTCTTCGCTGAAAGCACAACAATGCCAATGGAGGTCTTCGTATCGTACGAGATTGCCATGTCTGAAATCGAATTAACGATATTCATGAAAGGGGAGCAGAGAACCCTAATTTGATGAAAAAATTGTGAATTATTTAAACCGGACGGTTATGTTATGATAAAAAAAATAGGAGCCGATTTTACGGGATTTCCGGTCTGACCGGCGGTTTAACGATTTTTGTGAAGGGGATTAGCTTGATTGAACCGTGTTGTTGAGGAGTTCGGATCCGCTCCTTAAGGCCCCTCCTCTACATCCTGCTTGCAACGGCTCAGATGAGTCGTTGGACATCCAACGGTTGAGATTAAAAAATAAAAAATTAAAAAATTAAAATTTTGGTCGATCTCCCGCCCAAACAAAAACACAGCTTAGAGGTTATACAGACACAGAGGTTATGCGCACTCTCACATAGCACTCAGCACTCACTCCTTCTCCTCCGTCGAACCCATCCTCATCGGCGGCGACCCACTGTCGATACAGATTATGTCTGCTTCGCTGCTACGTTCTTCTCCTCCACCTCACCGAACAGTTCGCAGCGGTAGACCCTCTCTACAGCACTCCTCAAATCGAACCCATCGGTTTGCCCTCTTTCTATCTACCCTCCTTGAGAACCAGAGGTTAGTCTTCTTTATTCCCTCTGTCTCTCTGTAATTTATTATTTGAGCTTCAACTGAACTTAGTCTGATAAGTTTGTCTCTGTCCTCAAGATTATTTGTTAATTGACACGATTATTTGAGCTCAAACATACATACAATACCTCCCATTTGTCTCTTCATTGCCTCATTTTTTGTTAATCACAAATTAGATCATATCTGGATATAATAAATGATCGAATCTGTCCTTCACCAAGAAGGCAGACAAGTTTCTTATTCCACATAAATGGGCCTTCACTGATGAAAGATATTACATCTTAAGTACAAACTTGGCCATCTTAAGTAGAAGACAAATAGATTTGTTGCTTTATTGAGTAGTAGTTTCTGTAGATACTGGATTTGCACAATGAAAGTTAGGCCTCATGTCTCTGTCCTCAAGATTATTTGTTAATTGACACGATTATTTGAGCTCAAACATACATACAATACCTCCCATTTGTCTCTTCATTGCCTCATTTTTTGTTAATCACAAATTAGATCATATCTGGATATAATAAATGATCAAATCTGTCCTTCACCAAGAAGACAGACAAGTTTCTTATTCCACATAAATGGGCCTTCACTGATGAAAGATATTACATCTTAAGTAGAAACTTGGCCATCTTAAGTAGAAGACAAATAGATTTGTTGCTTTATTGAGTAGCAGTTTCTGTAGATACTGGATTTGCACAATGAAAGTTAGGCCTTATTTCCAACATTAGAGCCTATTTAGACTATATAGTGACAGATTCTAAACACTGGTGGAAAAATAGATTTTAATATATATGACAGAGTTCCAAGATATACATGTAGAAGTAGAACTAAGAGCTTATGATGAGAGTAATTTGGCATACCAACAATTACATAAACTTCATAAAAAGGGAAATAACATGGAAATATGTAATCCATGAATGCTATTCACAATAATGAGGTTGTTAATTTTTTGTTAACAACCTCATTATCTATCTCTATCTATGTAATGGATTATTGATTATGTTTGATTGAGCTTGAAACAAGTCCTCTTCCCAAAAATGTGCGTTTGGAATTTTTTAAAACTGAACTTAGTCTCCATTTTCTTATGTCTGGATTTTTTTTTTCAAACTGAAATTATGTTTTTTTGTGTCTAAAATAAAGATGTAATTTATGTAGCTAAGATTTTATTTATATGGGTTTTCAGTTGCTTTTTGATATGAATATGGAACCTGAGAATGATTGTGCTTAGAAGCCAAAACAGGGAATGACATTTGATTCTGAACAATGTGCATATGATTTTTATAATACATATGGAGGAAGAATGTAGTTTAGCATAAGAAGGGATTATTGTAGGAAGAACAAGTTCACTAACCAACTTATTTGTAGACTTTTGGTTTGCAACAAGGAGGGATTTCGAAAGGTTGACAAGCGAGACCTATTGGCAAAAAACCCTAGAGCTGAAACTAGGACCGGTTGTGAGGCTCGAATTTATATTAAATTAGATGAGGGTACTGGGAAATTTATTGTGACTGATTTCAAAGAAAAACACAACCATGATCTTGTATCACCCGAGTGTGCCCACATGTTGTCGTCACAAAGAAAGATATCGACTGCCCAAGCAATTGAGTTAGATTTGGCGGCACAATCTGGTCTTCGTTTAGGCTAGTCTTTTGAACTCATGGGTAGGGAAGCTGGTGGAAGACAATGTATTGGGTTTACGAAATTAGATCAAAAAAATTACTTGAGAACCAAAAGACAACAAAGTTTAGCATATGGGGAAGTAGGCAATGTGTTGCAATACTTTAAAGCAAAATCTTTGCAGAATCCTTCATTCTTTTATGCTTTTCAATTAGATAATGAGGAGAAAATAACCAATATGTTTTGGGCCGATGCACAAATGATCATGGATTATGCCTAATTTGGTGATGTTGTCACATTTGATATGACTTACAAGTTAAACAAAGAATATAGACCCTTTACATCTTTTGTGGGATTCAACCATCATAGGAAAACAGTTATATTTGGTGCTGCATTGTTGTATGATGAGACCGCCGAATCGTTTGTATGGTTGTTTGAAAATTTTCTAGAGGTTATGTCAAGAAAGGCACCAAAAACTTTGTTCACCGATCAAAATGCTGCAATCGCTAAAGCCATACCCATCGTTATGCCTGACATAAGTCACCGATTGTGTACTTGGCATTTGATGCAAAATGCATTAAAACATATTAATTGTTTGTTCCAAGATAAGATGGTAAATGGTGTACTAAATAAATTATTCTTTGACATTGAGGATGCAAATCAATGGAAGTTAGAGTGGACGGAAATGCTTGATAAATATGATGTGCATGAAAACCATTGGTTGAAATTGACTTTTGCTGTGAAAGAAAAATGGGGCTGGCCATATGTTAGATCAACATGGGCTGCGGGAATGAGTACCATACAACTTAGTGAATCTTTTAATGATTTTTTGAAGGATTACATTCGTTCTGATTTTAACTTAAATGAATTCTTCATGCATTTTGAAAGGGTACTTTACGAGAAGCAATACAAAGAGTTAGAAGCAGGATATGCTTTGTGCCAAAGGTTGCCAAAGGTAAAAGCAACAATAAGAATGTTAATTCAAATGGGTAATGTCTACACAAAAAAGATCTTTGAGGAATTTCAAAATGAGTACTTTTGATCCATTAAATCGGACGTAGAAGCAATTGAATATGGCGAGGCCAGTACCATTTTCACAGTTGTGGATGTTGGTAACAAACATGCAAGGAAAGTGAAGATGGAGAGGGATGGCTCTTTGGGTTATAATTGTACAAAGTTTGAAAGGGAAGGAATCTTGTATTGTCACTCGTTGAAGGTTATTAGAGACATATTGAAGATGAAAGAGATTCCCCCACAACACATTCTAAAGAGGTGGACCAAACAAGCAAGAGCCGAAACTGTGAACGACATTAAGGGGAATGACATTCAAGTAGATGTGAAATTCCAACAAGCCTCGCGGTATAAGACATTGATGACGACATTTAGAGCACTAGCAAGTAGAGCTGCTGAAACCGAAGAAACTTATGATTTTTGTATTGCATATCTTGCTACATTAGGTGGAAATGTTGAAGGCAAGTTCAGTGCTCATTTTGGTGTTGGAAATGAAGTAGGTAATGATGATGACACCCAAAGCTTTGAAGTGGATTGCGAAGACGTGAATCATGTTGTGCAACCAAAAGGATTGAAGAACGCGGTATAAGACATTGATGACCACATTTAGAGCACTAGCAAGTAGAGCTGCTGAAACCGAAGAAACTTATGATTTTTGTATTGCATATCTTGTTACATTAGGTGCAAATGTTGAAGGCAAGTTCAGTGCTCATTTTGGTGTTGGAAATGAAGTAGGTAATGATGATGACACCCAAAGCTTTGAAGTGGATTGCGAAGACGTGAATCATGTTGTGCAACCAAAAGGATTGAAGAAAAAAGGTGGCAACTAGTAAGGGCAAAAGGAGGGTAAAAGGTGGATTCGAAGCGGTGTTGGTAGCGAACTCCAAAAAAAAATCCCGTGCTAACAGCTTGGCTTCGTCATAATCTATTGCAAGTCCAACAGTTGCACCTTCTCCATTATCTGTTAGAGGAGATATCTATGTTCGTCAACATGTTCCTCCTCTTCTTCCCCTTCATCCTCTTCTTCCATCTTTGCACATGGGTGGTAATTCTATTCCTTTGCCATTGATGTATCCCACATATCATGTAAGTGTTAGTTTAACATTGTATTTTTTGTGTGGATCTAATATGTAATGCAAACCATAATTGCGAAGCCTAATATATGACATTGTTGTAGGCGAATAATTTGCGGGACATGTATGTAGTGCCAAATTATTTGCCAAATTCAATGCCTCAACGGTATTCTGCTGGATCAACATTCCAGTCACTACTTCAAAGTTCATGTGGATATGACATTGGGTTTCGATATTCTCAAGAATCAACTACTCCAATGTGTAGTCAGGTTCGTCCTTGCTATCTTTTTAATTTATAGTTGTTGAAAATTTTGTCATACCATGTATTCACTTGCTCAAAAATTTGTCTTTTTCCCTTTTAGGCTATGGACAAGCAGAAACAAAAGCAAATTGATGCTGAAATTGGGCTAGAAAGTGAAGTCATAGCCTTTGAAATTGTGAAGCAAACTGCTGCTGGAAAGTGATGATTAAACTGCTGCTGCTGGAAAGTCATACATTGGTCTTTTTCCCTATTTATATTGAAGCAAACTGATGTTGAATGTGGAGGAATGTGTGTTGAAATGTTAATGGATTGTATGTGTTAATTTACATGGACCAATGTAACAATTTTGATGGACCAATGTTTTAATTTAACTTGTATATGTGTTCAAAGCAAACTTTATGGTGTACATTTGATCTGGTTTTTTATCTGGTTCTGTATGATTTTGCTGGTATGCTTTT